CTTTCCAGCAAAATTTCAAAAGTATGTAACTCACCTACATTAAAAAAAACTTGGCCACAGAAACTTCATTCACGCGATCACGTTTGCACTAGCGTAAAGACTACTCGACAGCGTAAGGCATCTTGTGGACATTTCTTTCTTCTCAATCAATTGCAGTGATCTGTTCCCAAAAATTTCTGCCTCCATGATCGGACGCGCTGCCAGTTATCTGAGCACCATTTGGTATTTCAGCGCATCCTGGATTGTGGCATCTTTGACGAGGTGATGGTGTCACGTGACGTCAGGTTGTGTGACGCCATAGTGACATCATATAATTTGAACAGATTTTCTCGCAGATGATGTCACAAATCATCAGTGACGTCACGACGACGTCACATGATGATCTTTTTAACACAAACGTGTTTTATGCCACGGTCGACCAAGACTTCAATGGCGTTTTTTTGTCACGGAAATGATGTCAAAAAGCTACGCATGATCAGAAGACGAATAAAAAAAAGCTCCGTCATCGGGAGTTGAACTCTTGGTTTCTAGGCCCGCGACAACAAATGCCAAGCTATTCACAGCGCCGCGTTCGCATACTAAGCAAGATTTAAAATTACGTCTTTTTATATGTCTACCACTGCCCTTTCACATGATTCTCGGTAAGTTCAATGATGCATCATGACTGCGTAGTGGCTAAGGTGCTCGTCTGGTCACCCGCAGATCGCGGGATAGAATCCTGGCTGTGGTGCCTGCATTTTTTGATAGAGGTGAAAATGCTGTGGGCCCGTGTGCTCAGATTTCGGTGCACGTTGAAGAACCCCAGGCGGTCGAAATTTCCGGAGCCCTCCAATACGGTGTCTCTCATAATCATATGGTGGTTTTGGGACGTAAAACCCCACATATCGATCAATCAATCAGTCAGTCAGTCAATCGTGACTGTGGCATTGACGATTAGTTCCTTAAAGTATTGTTTCTACGCGTTCGTCACATTCGGCACGTTTCGAATGGTAAAAATGTAATTTTTTCCACGCATTAACACACCACAAGGTGGTAACTTACCCCCAACTACGGCCTCCCTCATAGCATCCATCTATGCCGAAAATAAATTTGCGACGCCCTCAGGTGTCACCTTATTTTAACTAAACGTTCCACACTTTAAACTAGCGATCACCTTTTCTACACACTGGTGGCCCTTAATAACCCAAAAAACACTCGCGTATCTCTGAAAGGGCATCGTTTACACTACTGTGAAGCTGGCGCTGGTGTATGCGGTCGACGATGAGGTATATGCAGCGGTGGTCAGCTGGTAGTAGGATCTGGCACCTCCCGTCTTCTGATGTTTTTACGTTGTTGAGCCGAGTCTTGTTCCTTCAAATACCGTCATTGTCCAGGAATGAATGCAGATCATGAATTCGGGATGCCTTAGGTACTGGTTTGTCCTTTAACAATGAGGCGAATCGAATAGAGGGCTGTGTGTGAGAAGTGGCATCTTCAATCATTTCAGCATGCCTTTTCATATCGTATTGGCTGATAGCCTTATGATAGGCTCGCATGGCTTCAAAGTTTGATGGCAGTCGCCGGGCGATTCTGTAAAGCCTCGAAAAGGCTACTTCCGGATTATCGGCCATATCGACATGAGGAGACTTCAGCAGTAATGAAACTTCATATCGCGCTTTTGAAAGTACAGCCGGGTTGTTAAATTCACCGGTAACATCTGCGGTGCGCTGATACGTGGGCGTGTCAGACATTCCAATGTGTTCAAGGTGCCGAAATCTTTGTGATTGGAAAGCGACCTCGTCATTTTTATGGGAACCTGTTCACAGAACACATACTTGGGTGCTTGCTCTCTTGCTTGCCCTTCCAACGCAAGGGGCCCTGAAAAGTCCAGCCCATCTTTGTGCTGATGGCGAGTAAGGCAGGATTTTCTTCGTCCCACTTAACTCGTGCTAGACATCAACTTCCAAAGCTGGTCTGATCCAACGAGGAAACTCACACCTGGCTCACACTCTACGCTCGGGTAAACGACGGCGTCGGCCAGATGTTTCCCCGCTGCTGCGATGGCTTGAATAAGACGACTTTGTGTTGGAGCTTCAATCATCTCCTCACAAATAAATAGCACCGCGATGGCTTCAACGTCGATGGTCATGCTGTCATGCTGACTGCGTAGCATGAATTTGACTATTGTGAACCGCCTTGTTGGAACGCTGGCTCTACCAAACGCGCTGATGGCAAGTTTGGTCTCGGCAAGAGCCGGTAGGTTTAGCTTGGAAGCGGCACTTTCAGTGATGAATGTTCACTGCTTCCATCATCCAGAACTCCGCGTACATAACGACAATGTGACGAAGTCGTCACCCAAGCTCGAAAGGTCTGGAGTAGAACGTCATTGATGGGTCGGAAAGCTGAAGATTTCTGAGTGGACACTTGCATCGTAGCGATCGGCTCATTCTGAGAATTACCCGATGGTATTTCCGAGCTACGAGTATTGCACACCGAGGAGGCACGTCGGCGTTTGCATGACTTGCAGTTCGCTTCTCGTCGGCAATCGCGGACAAGGTTTCATTTTGTGGTGCACCGCGATCATCGGCCATCTGTCGCAAGTTTGTTGCGTCCCTCAGCAAGAGTGATTTCACTCGTGCAGTCCTTTGTCTTGTGATCTGTTGCGCAGCAGAAAAATCAGGGCGAGAGGGAAGATAGTGTCTCGGTCTGAAAAACTGACGCACCAGGAGTCGCAGACGGCTTCTTGAATGATCTGTTCAATAGTGGAACAATGCTGCCGCATGTCTCAGATAAATTGCTAACGAACTCCTTTCTCTGCATTCAATTTCGATGCGGAGAAACTTTATCAATTGTTCCAGTTCCCTATCGGATGAACCCTGGCTCGTTTCCGTCGCGTTCTTCATACTTTCCTTTTTGAAGTATTCTATACGACAATGTCAGCTGGTATGACCTTGAGCAGAACTTCATGCAGCATAGCCGTGTAAGATGACTCCGTGATTTCAAAACTATGCAGTTCCCTCCTGTTCAGTTGCACTGTGTCGAAAAGCTTAGGCAGAGCATTGAAATCGCTCGCTCATTTCACTGGTTTGAGAGTACGCAAACTTTCTAGGTACTTTTGCTCAATAAATTTTTTGGTTTCCAAACCGACGTTTCAAAACTTTTAGCGCGTCATCCTAACAAGAATTTGTCACCTGAATACCTGTGACGGTTTGAGCTGCAGGTCCATTCAGTAGTGAGACCAAGTAGTGAAACCGGTCTGTGTTGGAAAGCATCGGGTTAACGTGCACGGAGTGCAAGAACATATACCAAAAAGGTTGCCACTTGGTCACGGTCCCGTCGAAACAAAGAAGCTCCAACTTGGGAAGTCGTGCTCCAAACTAAAGTTGTGGAAGTCGTTCATGTCCGCTCGGAGCACCCTAATAGGACCTTGCGCCCATGGCTGAAGTAGTAGATGACGCCGGCATAGCAGAAATCTTCAGAACGTCGATGTGGTGCTCGAGTAACACCATAGTACCATTTGCGGCGTCGCCGTATTGCATGACCACCTCACAGCCGTCTGCCGCCAGGTCGTCAGTCATCAGGGCTTAAACATCGCTGTTCAAGGCTTTAAGTTTCACGTTGCTGGCGTGTAGGCGGCCTTGCAGAATTCGAAGTACAGAAAGCTCAAACTGATTGGGCTGGAGCACCTGGTTGACCTCATTGATGATTCTTGTGTTCATCGTTCGCCGCGAGGCCCACATGTTCTTCGCTCGCTCCGTGTCAGACTAGCTCGAAGCGCAGCTCACCCACATCAGGAATGAGTCTCGAGTCGTTGTTGGCTTGATTCCCGAGTCGTCGGCATCAAAATCGATGAGGGAAAACTACACTTCGTTGTTTAGAGGCACCGAATGAAAGAGACATAAATTCGACCATCCACGGTATATTTTATTTTTTGTTTTCCTCTGCACATGGCTCGTACCCAGAGGAGGGGATTGGCCGATTATAAGGTGAATTTGCCCGATACTTTCTGCATTGCTTCATTCCAAAAAAAAAACTTTAGTTATTTATATATGATTCGAAGTGCCGATTAAGAATTTAAAGAAAAAATAAAGGGGAAAAAATGTGTGGCCACAATTTAGCAAGAAAATCCTTTAGTCACAGTGATGTATTTCTGAACGGCGAATAAAACATCCCTGTGGCGGAAACCCAGCCAAGAGGCTCCAAGTGAAAGAAGAGTAAAATAGCTTGTTCTATTTCCTTGACGTTTTCTTCTTCGTCGTCGTTCTCAGTCCTTCGATGCGCGCGCTATTCGCGCGGGAGATTCAAACGATTTACAACACGCCCCGCGAATAATCGCAGTCGGCCAAAGTGAACACATGACGAGCGTTGCTTTTCTCTCTAGTCGGGCAGTGCTGTCACGCTCTTATGGATGTCACATCGCTTTCTCTTGTTCCGCTCTCACCCATTAACTACTAGAGCTACCGCAAGCACCTACGACCCCGAACATTTGTTCAATCATTTATGATAGACTTTAGTCGCCGGGATGGAGATGAATGACTAAGCGTTTACGTGGATGCATTCACGTTAAGCGATGTTACAGCTGTCACAACAATCGACACGCACGCTCTCTTACATCAATGTGCGGTAGACATTGAACTACTTCTGTGAGCACATGATTTACTACCGCGTTACGCCGATTCCTATTACTGAAGGATTAACCTTTCCTTGTTGTTGTTGTTGTTGTTGTAGTTGTTGTTGTTGTTGTTGTTGTCGTTGTCGTTGTTGTTGTTGTTGTTGTTGTTGTTGTTGTTGTTGTTGTTGTTGTTGTTGTTGTTGTTGTTGTTGTTGTTGTTGTTGTTGTTGTTGTTGTTGTTGTTGTTGTTGTTGTTGTTGTTGTTGTTGTTTTGCGCCCGTTCGTGTTGCCGCCGGTGATCGCTTTCCCGCAGGAATGGCGCATCGAGCACTTTGGCCGCAATAACGGTGATCTAAATAATAAGTGTCCTTTTTGCCCGGTTGCGCAATGTAAAGTCAGGAAGGAGGTATTTCGGAGAAGTACAGCAGAGTCTACAGGCACTTTAATTGCACGACTTCCCACATTATAACACGATGAATCGACACACTGAAATTAAGGCTCGTGACAGGAGCACCCAATGGCTTCTTGCCTCAATCTTGAGCAGCGCTAAATCAAGGCGCACCTGTGACCGTCTTCCAAGCGCATTCGGGAACCCGATGGGCATTGGAATGTCGATGAGAATTCTTCCATGTTCATCATTGGCACGTTGACTCTGAAAAAGATGGGAGTTCAGTAAAGCATTACGTGACCAGCCGCGGTGGTCTTGTGGCTAAGGCACTCGGCTGCTGACCCGCAGGTCGCGGGATCGAATCCCGGTCGCGGTGGCTGCATTCTCGACGAAGTAAAAGTGCTTGAGGCTGGTGTGCTTACATTTTGGGTTTTCGTTAAAGAACCTCGGAGGGTCGAAATTTCCGGGGCCCTCTACTACAGTGTTCCTCATAGTCATATAGTGGTTTTAGGGCGTTAAACCCTAAATATTATAATATTATTTAGAGTATTGCGTGAACCATAGTATGAAGATGCAGTAAGTCACTGAAAACTAGTAGTGAGTTAGTCATTTTCGGGCTTATTTTCTGGTCACAAGTAAACGTGCATATTTCCTGAACAATTTTCGATCTGCTCTCAAGCGTTAAAGTACCTTAAGTTGTCGACCATGTCGCTCATCAAAAAAAGCGAGTACCAGCTTCCTTACAAAGAAATTAGTTGCATCTCGATGTTGTCTTTACATTTAATGGCGGAGTCTGCATGCCACCAAAAGCAGGAGCGAGAACGAGCCTGACACAGCGGTTGCTGATTGATCATTGCGCAACAGGCAACGTTGTCGTTTTAGTGTTGCACCATGGCTTCAGCATATCCTACAGTGCCACATTTCGTGAACCAACTTCAACATGAAATATAGATATCCCTAAAGTGTATCACCAATCTGCATGTTTTGCTATTGTGACAAAGTGCACGTTTAAACAGAGCGAGGTGCAGGTAGATGAATTCAGTCTCAAAGGAATTTTATGAGTTTTTATTCGTTTATTTAGAAATACTGCCAATCTCAAACAAGCTCAAGGCAGGAAAGGGGAGGGGTACGGCAGAATACTTAAAAATAGTAAACTAATGACATTACGTTGTACGATAATGCGCTAAAATGCTTCAATGCAAGCACAAGTTAACTGAAGATTACACAATATAAGGGTCCTTCCACTTGAAATAAGAGTAGCAAAAAGGAAAAAAAACGTACATAAAAATTAATAAATCCGGAATAGCATAACCCGACCGCGTTGTGTAAGTACGGTTTCCTCGATTGTCGTGTCGATTATATTCAGTAGCGAATTCAGTTCTTCGTGAATACAAGGCGTTCAGAAACAGAAAACCGAGTGTTCCATTTCTGCAGCCCGTGGTTCAATGTGCAGCTATTTGCGTGCACAGGGAAGTTTTCTCTCTGCTTTTGTAATGAAGGAAATGGTCTGTCTCGGTCATCGTCATACCGTGCGTATACGGTGCCGGGCTGCTCAGGCGAAGGTCGCCGGTTCAAACCCGGCAGAGGAGGTCGCGCTTCGACGGAGGCGACATGATAAAGTTCAGTGGACTATGCAACGCTTGCGCCTAACGGGCAAAATTTCTGGATCCCTTCACTGCGGTGTGCCTCTTAACCATGCCCCTGTTTCCATTTATTATTATTATTATTATTATTATTATTATTATTATTATTATTATTATTATTATTATTATTATTATTATTATTATTATTATTATTATTATTATTATTTATTACAGCGAACCTTTATATAGTGCACCTGCTTGATCTTGCAGCGCCCATTCGTGTTCATTCACGAACAGAGAAACACCAACGTAACCTCCTCCTACAATTGATGACATCACGACGTCACGGATCACTAGATTTGTGACGTCATCATAGCGAGAGAAACCACGACTTCGCCGATTGTCGTCGTGGATCGCTTAAAGGAGCACTAAGTGAGGTACCGACAGCTTCAGCGGTGGATTGTGCCTTCCGTGTGTGTATCCCTATACACGGCAGTCCTGTCTAAGCGCTGCGCTTGATCGGTCGTGCGTGGTAAGGATGAGTCAACAGCGCATGGCGAGAAATTTTGGGTAACAACGACTTATAAGGATTGCCGACGACAGCGAACAAAGGTGGCCGCAGGGTTCTCCTTCGAAAAATGGGGGCAGAGGGAGGGGGGGGAGGTTTGTTGCAGCACCCCCTCCCTAACATGTTAATGCATGGAGTTAGCTTCGCTCCCCTCCTCCTCCCGAGACACGTCCCCCCCTTATCCTCCTGTTATGTTTATGTAAGTGGCTGACTTTGCGTCCCCCCCACCCCCCTGAGCAGGCCTCTATGATAGAAGAGACAAAAGTGCGCCCATCATCTCAGTCGGTCACCCTCCTTCACGGAGGGAAATGACCGCTATACCTTTATTATTCGCCCTTCGAAAGATGTAGTTTTAGAAAGATGGGTGCATCCTCTCATTTTTTTTATTTGCCAACGCAATTCGTTTTTTCTTGTTATGTGAAAAAACATCCGTTATACATTACAACCAGTTCCTATTCGTAATCTTTCCGAAACTTTCTGATGAGGTGGTGGGTATGTACGCGATGACACTACAAATAAAGATATACCGACCTGCATAACTTACCTATATCGATTTAGAAATGGTTCACTCGTAACTCCTGTTTCCTTATTTCCTTCGGAACTTTCATGTGCGCACAACAGCTGTCAACGCAAAGAAAAAAACTTACACAAGAATATGGTAATGATCCGCACATCAAAGTATTCGTACGATTTTCCGGCTACTTTTCAGCATCACTAATTTAGCATTACTATAATTACACTTATCGAGGCTCAGCCATGGCTGAGTCTTCGCACCATATTAAAATTCAATTGATCTCATGTTACGAAACTGGCATGGGCTAAACTATAACACAGTTCAGCGCAGAAATGGAAATGTTTTGTTCATTTCATTTATATTACCCTCAACCACACGCCACTTTACTAATAGGAGTGGGATACCTAAAATAACAAGTTACAAATACATATGAACAAGATAATAATAAAATAATAATAAATATGAACATAAAATCACATTAAGCTAACACAACTCAATACAAATGTACGTACGATAAGAAGTGCAGAACAAAATTATATATAACACATCATCAAGTAGGTAATTTTGTACGGTGAAGAAAAGCATAATTTGAAATGAAAACGATGTCCAAGGAAAAGTCGTTTCAGTCGCTCGACGTTCGTAGGATAAATGAACGATAGAAAGTATTGGTGTGGCAGCTAATTAATTGTACCTAATAGGGATTATCTAAACGAGTTGAGCGATAACATCCAGTCATAACGAGCTGAAATTTTAAAACTTGTTGATTAGATATCTTCCGCAAAAGTATGAGAAGACGTTATTTGCGGCGCGATTCAAGTGGCTGCTTGTGGTGGGCTTCATTGCAAGGACACCGCTAGAGCAATGCTAGTTGGATAATGAAAAGAAAAGGAGCAAGGCCTGCAGGCTTCCGGCAAGAAATGGTTACTTTGACCCACTGGGAGGGCACGGTCCGCCAGGGGTCGCACGCGACTTTTCTTAAAAACGATCGACAGCCGGATCACTCATTTGTGCGCGCCGCGTTCTCGTCGCGTGAAGTTGACGTTGAAAAAATTGACAGCGCAAAATGCGCTTCTGTCAATGCAGTGACCGTGCATCCTGAAATACCGAACTTGTACTCTTTCTTCGCATAACAGTCCAGTTTGATGCAGTTACTTTCATTGATTAGCGCTTGCTGAAAAACTAATTCTTAACACGAAAGTGTTTTATGCCGAGGTCCCATATCACCGCTTCGCTGACGTGGCTCCGTCACGGATATTACGTTGTAAAGTATATACCAACAGATCAAAAAGAAAAAAAACGAGAAGAAATTGTTCCGCAGCGGGGCTGCTAAACAGCGAACTTACGCTACCCAGCGCGCGACGCTAACCACTACGCCAGAGAACGAACCTTCTCCAATTCACTACGGCGAGCCATTTACGTATATTATGTACCGCTGGTGGTCCGCAGAGCTCAGCAACTTCAGCGCGTTTTTGTTATCAGTTTATCAGTAGAAAGATGGCACAACGAACGCGCGTTGGGCGGCACGCGCTCTAATGGTAATCGTGCCTTCGCATCGCGTGGTTACAAGTGCGTATAGATATTCTCCAGCACAGTGGCTCACTCGCGCGCGCGCTTATCTCGGGATTCTGGCGCTTCTAAAGACGATAGTCTTTCTTGTGGACCTTCGACGTAGAAATTTTGGTCTGTCGGTCTGTCTGTACAATTGTCTGTTTGTCCACGCTTAACGGTATTGGATACTCTGAATGGACCAGCCGATACTCCAAATGGCCTACGCCATCTGCAGCGCCCACCAATGTTGCTCAAGATTTAGCATTCATACTTGTGCGATTGTCAATGAAAAAGCAATTATTGCGCATATTTGGGCCACCTTAACAACACGTATATATTCTGTATGTGCGTCTTTTACTATAAAAGGCATACATAAGTAATTCTAAGTAGCGCTTATCACACTGCGCTGACGATGCAACGCTCGCGCGAAAAGGCGATTGTTTCCAACGCTTTGCTAAGACGAGATGGTTATGGCACCTACCCGTTGTCTTGCGTTCTACACCTTATCACCTCTGAGACGTGCGTGCACGCCCGTCTCAGAGCCACGCGCTTCGTTCCAAGAAAACTGCCAGATAGCGCTCATGTCTCACGTGTGACGTGACTTGATGCCCTCGTTCGCCTCCACTGCATGCTCGAAGCACACTAACGCAGCGCCTCCAGAATACCATTCACCAATTTCTTGCGTAGAACATCACATAAATGTCTTGTTCCCTCTCTCCACACGCAAGACTATCGTCTTTCGACGACATTTGCAGATTAACAAGTATTTACTGAGCCACTTTTTGTTACTTGAGCTTTCACCGCAGGTTTGTTTTGAAGATACGGTAGTTAAAGAGTCCGCCGCAATGGTTCAGTGGCTAAGGTACTCGGCTGCTGACCCGCATGTTGCGGGATCAAATCCCGGCTTCGGCGGCTGCATTTCCGGTGGAGGCGGAAATGTTGTAGGCCCGAGGTTGGGGCGCACGTTAAACAACCCCAGGTGGTCGAAATTTCCGGAGCCCTCCACTACGGCGTCTCTCATAATCAAATCATGGTTTCGGGACATTAAACCCCACAAATCTATCAATCACAGTAGTTAAAAAGAGCTCGAAGGTCACTTCGCTTGTTAGCGCAGTCGCGCTTACGAAAGCATCGCGCTGCTCATACGCGAAGAAGTGAAAATTCTGACAGTTGTTCGCGCTGATCGTTTGTATACCTGTGTGTTCATTTTGTGCGTCTTTCTTTTTTGTTTGAGCAGCGTTCTTCAAGTCTCTAGCTGTGAAAGTAACTTGTCTATGCTCGTCTTGTGTATGCTAGTTTCGTGCGCGCTTTCTTCTTGGGGTGTGCGCTGCAAGTTTCGATGTGCTTCGCGTTACATTGCAATTCGTTGCTGTAGCATTCATTCCTTAGCCCTTGCGGCGAAACAATGCACAATAAACGCTTAACTACCTCTGCGAAGAAACATTTCACTTTCGTGTTATAACGATTACTACAAAGAGGGATCAACTGCGTTTGTTTTTGTTTCCTAAGCTTCACTACAATAAGATAACAAAGTCACCACTGCCAAGTTTGAAACACAGGAAAGAGGGACAACACAAATGTGTTTTCTACATAGATAGCGCACATGTTGCCTCACGCGTGGTTTGCCCAGGGCCCTATTCTTTGTATGTTCCAACCAGCTTCTTTTTTTTTTCTGTCATTTCATTAAATCAATACTTAGATGCGCTTTTTGTGCTTTGAACTTCTCCAGCACTGCATTTATCATCCTGTATGGTTCCAATAGCCCCTTCCTACACAAGCTCTTCTTACTATAGGCTTACGGGACAGGCTTTGTTTTAGATATTATTTCCAACATAGCCCATTATTTATCCTTTCACAATGGAGCATCACCGACAAGGCGCTTCTTCGGTCTAAAAGACGCCATAAGAGTATACGACCAATAACAACGCCATCTAGAAATTTCCGCCTCGAGTCGACGTGATGATATACCTTTTGACGGCGTCTGCTGAGGTCTGCATAAATCTCTTTCGTTTAAAGGAAGTCTCACGTTGTTTTGACGTAACTTAACGAAGCAAGTATAGGGACTATTTCGCTTAGCCAGAATGGTCAAAATGTGAGGACGAAAAGCAGCAGTTTCGTCACAAAAGCAAAGAAAAAATGAGCGCAATGGCAACGACTTGGAGGGTCATGCGACATGCGAGGTTATTTTGTCACAATATGTATATTTACGGAACTTCACGGCGACGTAAATGGTGAACGCAGAAAGGCATCTGAAATATCTCGCAAAAAAAAAGACAACAGATTTCGTGACGTAACGCTGAGATTCAGGCGCAGGGAGATATGGTGGGAAATTGAAAAATGGAACACTAATTTTTGTTTGTCAATCTTCGTTGGACGCAAATTAATTATTTTTAAAATTTTCCATGTTATCAATTACAGGTGGAGGTATGTAGTGCAACACTTTGTTGATCACTAAGCAATTCATTATTCAAGCAGTTTCTTTGTGAACGAAAGGGGACGAATGATGAGCGAAGTCCGTAAGTTGTCAACAACTTACCGAGGCGTAGGATAAGAAGTACAGCTGTTCAGGAGAAAATTTTTCGAGGCCTGGCAGCGACATCATCGGTTTTTCCTCCTCGGAAGCTAGGAGTGCCTGAAAGCCACCAAAAAAAACCAGTCCTAATTAACAGGCTAAGAGCTTTGTAAGTAAAAAGTGCCGCTTAGACAAAAAAAAATCTATAATGGAGTTGAACGTTGCCAAGGAACGACCGAACGAGGGAAAGCAAGACGAAAGACGGGATTCTTAACCAGTCTAATTACTATTAGGCACATATCATGGCAATTTTGGCGCTACAAAAGACGTACGCATGTGAGAGACAGAGGACAGACCGGCCGCAAGTGTAATAATATTGTCTTCGAGAATTTTCACAGCCCTTTGTCGCTTTCATCCTTAACGACTTCTCAGGACGACTGGACATGCTGGTCGAGTGGTTGTAGCACGGGTGACCCGATGGTCACCGGATCGAATCCCGGCCGCAGTTCGCCGGAGGTGAAGTGCTACATGCCGCACACCTACGTTTTGGTGCACGTTAAAGAACCCCAGGTAGTCGAAATTTCCGGAGCCCTCCACTACGGCGTCTCTCATAATCATATGGTGGTTTTGGGACGTTAAACCCGACAAATCAATCAATCAACCAGGTGGTCAAAGTTTCTGGACGTTGTTCTGAAGTCCCCCGTGATCAGAGTACACTGGACCGCAAACATCTTGTGCGTTCATGTCATATACTCCTTGTCACACACTTTCGCCCGGTCCTTGCTTCCGTTGCGTCAGCTATGTGCCGGCTTACACGGCGTTCGACCCGTGGAAATCTGAGAACATGAATCTCGTTGGGTGCACTTGTTTTTCGGCAGCCCCTGGTGTAGCGAGCCTCTCACCATTCCTCCTTCATTTGAGAGCGCGCGCCTGCTTACGTCCCCAGTTGCTCCTGTGAGTGTCGACATGTACATACATCTGAGCTAGTTGGTTCGCGTTCGCAATAAAACAGTACCGTGGACAACAACAGATCAAACCAGGAGCCTTTTGTACGTGTCCCTCTCCTCATCTGGTCTGTTGTTTTGGCTCCGTTTTACCGCGATCGAAACTGCAGGGTGAACATGCCGGGGTGCCGGTGTACAGTTATTGTTACGAGTCATCTTCTGGCTTTCTAGATTTCACGGGACTGTCCCGACTTTTCTCTGCACCATACCGAGTCTCGCGTCGTCCTTTTTTCGGGAAAACTACGTGTCCCGAATTTGTTCCGGACCGTTCAGTTACAGGAATCTTACGAGACCCAACACGTGCCCAACAACGCGCGCCTCAAGGAGGACCACGAAATTCGCACAGACCGCTCGCACAAAGCAGGGTTCTGGTAGCTAGTGGTTGGACAGGCTTTAGCCACTTCTGTTCAACTTTCCCCTTGAAGTGCGACGTCTTTTACGAGTACATTATTCAGCACGAGGAAGTGCCACGAGCAGCTCGTATTCAGCTCAAGTGTTTCCGGAGGCCGCCATGAAGGAACAACGAATTTGTCTGAAAAATAGTGGGATAACAAAAATCGATTTTACTGACTCGTTATAGTATTGTGCGTGTCCGCCCCTCCACATCCCAACTTGCTTCATTGGAGGGGCTGGCAACCCTTGGTGCAGTGTGCTAGAGGAGGATTAGTGGGCTCCCTACCAGTGTCTCCCTACTTAGGAACGTACCAGGGCTCAGAGCGAGTGCCATCGTACGCCTCATTGGCCTTGAGATTTTTTTTGCGATTACAAAGATAGTGCCCTTTCATTCCGCGTAGCATGAACCAGCTATAGATGAAATATTTTTTTCACGGTGGCACCATTGAAACCTGGCGACACTTTCCTTAGCCGTTATCAGTAAAACTCGAATATCGCGCACTTGTATCATCGATGCATGCAGAGTAGTATTCAGAAAATTTTACTCACTTGGAATGCGATTCGGAGAGCTGCATTGTCAGCAACCGCTTCGATCAATCTATTCATCTCGTCAGGCTGAAATTTCAATACGAGTCATTAGGAAGTGAAAAAAAAATGGGATTAAGGTAAATAAATATAAGCTGGTGCTCCATTTTAAAGCAAAACGCACGGTCTTCATCTAGCTTGTCTCGAACACTTTGCAGCGTGTCCTGAAACGTCATGATTGCCACCAGCGCTGCGTAACTTTGAGTTCTGTTGTCGATACATTCCCCACGCATTCCGACGTGATATCCAAGCATAGCGACGTATTTGGCGCCCAACGCTTCGCAGCTGGCGTCAGTCAAACTAGCTCAGGTAACGCTGTGTGGCGTTCAAGTTAAGTTTGCTTACAAATGTGCGTCTTCAATCTCGAAGCCAGTCAGGCACGTTCGGCGGATTCACGAAATAGGAATTATTCAACAGCAACCTTTGCTTACAAAATAAACCTTTTATGTGACTGACAGACGTTTTGCGGTGCAGGCGCATCTTTTGTGTGATGCATCAGTGACTGATGCTTTAGCAAAATGCTTTTTTTAACAGGGAAGCTGTTTAGGCTATTCGTGACTTGTGCTCCGTCGTGCAAAACTTCATAAGTGTCTGTGAGACACTTATGAGCAAAATGAGAAAAGCCCTACTACAGAGTACAGCAGATGCGAGTGCCAAATGAAAAGTTTGCTCGGCGAATCGAAATAGTCCCGTAACACGAGAAAGAGAGAAAGACAAAGATGGAGAAATACGCCCGAAATTGGGTGAAATTAACACGTGAAGCAGTTGAAAGACAGAGAACAATATAATAACGGACATGATAAAGAGATAGAAGAAGTACAGGGAGCGCAAAACAGAAACAGAAATATATACAAATAAAAGAGAGAGACGAAGACAGGGAGCAAAGATAGAACGAGCAAGAAATGGAAACAAATAGATAGTGACAGCAAGAAATAAACAGAAACAAACGGATTCAACTAGAGATACAAGAAACAGATAGAAAGAACAAATAAAGACGAAAATCTAGCACTTGTTCCATGTACGAATGTAACCAAATCAGCGAAACTCCTTAGAAATGAGATGCAAGTGACTATATGCGCCTGATCTCGCTGCTATAGCTTTCGTGAAAGCGGTAGAGTGGGGAGCGGGCGGGGAGAGCGTTTGCTGCACTCGATGGCGGGAACGACTGAGCGAGTGAGTGTCGGGTGTAAGCGGCGCAGCGGGAGCCTTCTGCCTACACGCCTGCATGCGCTCGCGCTCAGAGTTTTGCTCAGTGTGCTTGCCCAGCGCAGGGAGTTTCGAAGGAGGCGATGGCTTAAGGAGCTTTGCTCCTAACAAGAAAGGCCACTCAGCTGTGTTCTTCCATCAGACTTGTTAAGACTATTGCGAAGCTGCAGTAATTTATTTTTTATTGTACAATTACGTTTTCGCATCGTCAATTCTTGGGTGTCGATCGACCCTACCGGTCTTCTCTTTTGTTACAACTGCGTTCTGCTCTGCAAAATTTTATGTGGCATGACTATCGAGCCTCATCTTGTTTCCTGGTTTGCCCCGGAATCACTTCCAGTAGAACCCCTAATTCCGGTTTTTCGAATATTAGTAGAGTGCATTTTAAAAACTATAAATATTTTATTCTCGCTCAAATTCAGCTTTATTTGACGCAAATGGTAGCGGAGCACAACGTTTTTTTAAGATAAGGACCTGTGAACTTTCGCGATAAATAACGCGAATTAGTTTACTGAGTTAATTGAAATATTGCCACCAGCTGTGAGTGCGGCCCCTGGAGGAGCGGATTTCAACTACTCAGTTCTTTTTACGTGGCCTCCGAGATTCGCCTAAGATGCACGCGAACGGCTAGGTCAATCCGAAGAATTCACCCGACAACACGAACGCCAACGTGCGTGTCCCACTAACAGACACCTAATTCAAGGATTAGAGTAGCCGGCGTAATGTTTCCCTCAATCAAACGTGACAGCTGCTTCTTCATGCTAGAGTGTTTTTTTTTTTGTTTGTGTGTGTGGCTTAGCTTGTCCCGCAAAAAAGTGTTGAGCTGAAGACAACCCGAAAAATAAGGAAGCCTATGAAATTCTGTTTCCTAATCCTCGACCTTCAGTGCAAACCTCTTTCGTAGTGTTCTATCCCGTTGTTCTGAGCACCCTTAATCAACGCCTGCCGTTGAAGCATGCGCGCTAGATAACCTGGCGAGGCCAGGGTTGGGGCTTGTCAGGAGACATACGAGTACCCTTTTGCCTTACCCCGTGTACATAATTCACACTTTGAATTTTGCGTATAAACCTGAAATCAAGAAATCGAAATTGGAATTTAAAAGTATGCGCCTGCGTGTGTGTGTCTGTATGGGTGGATATGTGTGTAGATGTGTGGACACATGTGATTCTGTGCGTGCGCGTATGCGTTCATGTGTCTATACCTGTACTTGCACGTGAATGCCCGTGCATGTTTTACTCTAATATCAGACTAACAATCGCTAATTACAAAAAAAAACACAATGTTCCGAATGCTCGTAGAATCGTCACAAATGATGCTAACGCGTTCATACCGTCATGTTAGCCGGAGTGTCCACAATGCTTCCGTACTGCTTGAGCAGACAGCCGGCCCTGTCGTAGAACGACGCCTGTGTGTAGTCGGTCCACCATCGTCTTATCATCCCTCTAGAGTCGTAGTGCAAGCCTGAAAAGAGAAAGCTTGTTCGTCAGATGCCCCACCACGTCAAACATAAAGGTGATATTGCATAGAAATATTACTGGTGAGCAGGAACAGGACTTATAAACATTTGCACCAAGTGCCATCTCGCGTTGGCGACAGCGGTGGTCTACAGTAACTAGATGGGAAATAGGCGCAAAAAGTCATATCTGACAAAAAAGCTAGCTATCTAAAATAGCTCCACATTTTATACAGCAGAGACTTCATTAAAGATGCTGTTAAACTTGCAGTGTCGCACTACAAACAACGTGGCATTCCAAAGTACTTATTATTTTACAATGAGGCCCCACGTTTTCTAATGGGCGTTGTTCGATTGTCCTGGGAAGCCACGTGTCTTGCAGTGCAACACTGAAATTTCGCCAAGGTGTCCCAGTAGTTCTCCGCTGTGTAGATCCCGTGGTCATTTTTGAAAAGTAGCTTCTTTTGAAAGATGCGATTTTTTTTGCCTATCTGTCATTCAGTTATGGCAAGACGCCGTTGCTGCTACCGCGAGATGGTGCCCCGAATCGACGTCCCCAAACCCTGTGAATGCGAGCGCTGGTAAACAATACCGGTCAGCAGAGGCGAGCGCAGGACTCTAAATTAGGAGATTCCAAGTTTCATCACAGAAATCTTCCCACTCCCTGCACTCGTTTGCTGAGTGCTAAAAAGAACGAGGAGCGTGATAGGTGCGAAAACGCAAATAAAGCAGCGGTGAGCTTTTCGCAAAGGTCTGCATTTGATCGTGAGTCTCTAAATTAGTAAAAATAATTTCTTCTAGCCATTTTAAACTCAGTATATTTAAAATTAACAAGTGATAACATATATAATTGTTCGTGTTTCGTTCAGTTTCCTAAAATGACTGCGAGCCATACATATGAACATCACCATCATTTGTACCTTGGGTTTCTCGAGTACTGATTGGAAGTAAACAGTTCTTTAATGCAACAACAGGGGTCCTTGATTGCCATTATCGTAAAAAAATAAAAGAACCGTGTGCAGTCATAACTCCGCGTACTAATAAAAATGTGGCAAGGAGGCATGTACGGAAGGCAGCTTCGGTTTTATTAATGAGACACCTGGGGAGGAGCATGGCATGCAATGGGTACAGGTGTTTGCCACAGCAAAGTATTCACTCTCTACATACTGCTTTACTTGCCAGCGATCTGCCCGCAGACTACCAGTATAGAGCGGTCTACAAAGTACATGACTTTACCGTAGAGATGCACTTTGGTGTCACTGGTTTTAGGTAGTAAACTTGCGCGCCTGGTGAAATTCGTCCAGGATCCTCACACTGTTGCTGAGCCAAACGTAACTTTTAGTGAGTGCCTATAAACCTTCAACTGATCAGTAGCATAGTTTGTACCAGTAAGGAGTACTAGGGTTTGCCCTATAGCTTTTTTTTTGTGGAGCATACCCAATCATGATGGACCATGACGACGACATGACACGCTGATAAGCCGATACCACAAGGTGCTTCGACCCTGAGGTGACGTGCAGTGTCCCATTGAATAAAGGTATTGGGTAGAATTGGCGCCCATTTTAGGTGATAAGGAGAGATAGTGACTGATCCCCGCCCCACCTTTCCAGGTGCATGATACGAAAAAAAAAATTGGCCGCGCATCTGCGTTTTAAGATGCAAAGGACGTCGAAAGACATCATTTTGTCTGTAGGTCCTGCGTGAGATATGGCGCCATCTGGCAGCATTGTCAAGGAACCAAAGAAGGCAGAGCTGGTGGTATATGGCAGCACAGGGCCGTTTTAGCGAAGCGTAGGAAACACCGGCTTCTTCCTTCATGAACACTGTGGTCTTTACAATGAAGTATCTATGCATTTTCTAAATAAAGAAACAAACTAACTCACGCCTACGTATTAATGCACCGCTTAAAATATGCGTAATATTCACTTTTTGATCCAAAATGTTCACATGTGTGAACGCCGCCACCTCATCAGATGGGTGGGCGTTGAGCAAGGAGTTAAACGTTCACCCGGTGGTTTAATCGTTGGACGGGCGGAAGGACAGATGGACATACATACAGATAGACAGAAGGACAGACGGACGGACGGACGGACGGACGGACGGACGGACGGACGGATGGACAGACAGACAGACGGACGGACGGACAGACCAAGACGTCTGCGTTGAAATATCCCAAGAAAGACTATCGTCTTTAAAACCACAGCAGATTCAGCGAACGCTGTTGGAATTTAAGTACAGATTAGCTCCTTTGCGTCGTTTGCCTCAAAGACTTTGCTTTAAAGGCTGTAAGCGTAAGTAAAGCTTAGTTTGTAAGAAACAACAAACCGAAAACGGAAACCTTTGTTGCGTTCAACGTGTTCGAACGCAAGTATATCACGCTACCTCCAGTGTCTTGCGTGCCATTCACCGAGCGTGTTACCTTTCTGGATCAAGTCGACCGTCATCTCGTGAGCCATGGCAGTTCCGATGGTGCCGAAGTTTACCGGTCTGAAGTAAGAAAGTAAGATTCGCTGCTGCAGGCATGACGTCACACAACAACCACTGATACACATGAATCGTAGTCAAGTCGCTTTTATGATAGACTGATCAATAAACTACATAACTCATGTAGTTTCCGAGAAGAACCTGTGAGTTTTGTTTTCATTGACAGGATGTAAGAAGATCTTGAAGCCCCAAAAAATTCTCAGCATACCCACGGAGTGAATTACAAGTGGGGCGAAGCATCCGTCCGTACGTCCGTTACGAGGTCACGCCCTCGAGGTCCTCGTGAACTCGGCAAACTTGGACGGACGGACGCTTCTCTCCACTCATCATCATTCACTCCATAGATAAGCTGTGAATTTCTTATAACAGCGCCACTTATCCTCTATAATCGTCAACTATACCAAAACCACTAATGCCATCGAGTGGTAATATTTCCAAGGACATATGCACACAACGCCATCTAGTGAGCAATTCTTAAAGTTAACTAGAAGTGGTTACTATAACATACCATTAAAGAGGAGGGAATGACCCCCACAGTAAGGAGCTTCACTCCTAAAAAAGGTGACAGCTACTTTTTAGCTCTTAGAGGTGGGTCAAACGTAGCCCGTCCTAGTTCGAAATTTTCTAGCGTGACACAGCACAAGCTATTTACAACTTTGGTCATGCCACTCTTGTCAAACACGTTAATAGAAAAAACAAAAAAACAAAAAATACGGGAGATCAACTGGAAGGGAAGCTGCTGGTTCACTTCCCTACACTAGAGGAAAGAGGGCAAGAAAGGGCTGAAAGAAGAGTGCATAAAAAGAAGCAACATTTAAAGAACAGGGCCGGTGGAAAACAGGAAAACTAGTCTCTCTATAGCAGGCAATTAACACGTCGAAACCTCAATGCTTACTTGACAAATATGTAGATGTGTATCAAGCGATTCAATTATGGGACGATTTTCTATTGCTAAAGTGTAGTGTTGATGATTTCTTAATTTTGTCACGAATATGGTGCAGCTATACGTATTTCTATCACACTCACAAAACAATACGATGACTATGAAGTAATTACGTCCACCAAAACAACTTACGAAGGTAGACCAGGCTCGAAGAAAGGCGTCTGGAGTATGCCAGCTGGAACCACTGTGAAGAACAAGAGCAGAACAGAAAAACGGACAGTACTGCCCCGTTCAGTTTTTCCAGCACGGCAAAAAAGAATCGCGCTTTGGAGCGTCTAGTTTGTTCTTGTATATTTAAGCATGTATGGAGTACTTGGTGCCCCTGCAAACATATACTAATAGGCAGATCACTTCGAAGTCTGTCCTCTCCCAACTTGTTTGCGGCAGAGGGACATCGACAGAACTTCAACAATGATGTCCTGTAAGTCAGTTAATAAGGAATATGACCTGGTTATACAGCAAGTCACTGATACTGAGAAATAATGATTGAACATCGCAGTTCATACAATTTTTTATTCCTCGATGGCCAATCCGATGGCCCAATCCTCGATGACCACGTAGAATTGAATGAACCATCTAGTCAATAATCAAGGAAACTAAGTGGCATTTTGATCCAAAGTTCCGTCTTTTTGCGCTGATGTCTAAATACTCATCAACGAACTCACTCAAGCAGCAGTTTTAGCAATCAAAGAAAGCGAGCTATGCCATAAAAGAACGTAAACCAAGACTCTGCAGCTGTTATGGTAACCACTGTTCATTGCAAGGCAATTATCTCAAAAGAGTTTTTACTCAGTCGGTACTACGATGCAACAAAAAATAAGCTGCTACAAAAAAATCAAAATATTTTACACGTGATGACATGTAAAAGGCAGTCGTTAGCATTCACTTATTAAGAAATTATTCTTACCGAAAACATTTGGTGGTATGTAAATCATGCCGACGGTCTCGAATGCAACTCCGATTCTGTGGGAATAAAGGCGACACATCGTCATATAACTTCATGATGTCCCCTCTGGAACAATACCAAAAATGAACGTAAATCACGTGGGTTTCGCTATCACTTTTCTCGCCGATGAATGCCCCTGTTTGCGATGCAACCATAGCTCGGCATATATACTCACTCATAATTACACTCACTGGCACTCATACTCATTTGAAATGCGGGAGTAAGAACGTGAGTGAGTGAGTGAGTGAGAGAGTGAGTGAGAGAGTGAGTGAGTGAGAGAGTGAGTGAGTGAGAGAGTGAGAGAGTGAGTGAGTGAGTGAGTGAGTGAGTGAGTGAGTGAGTGAGTGAGTGAGTGAGAGAGTGAGAGAGTGAGAGAGTGAGTGAGAGAGTGAGTGAGTGAGTGAGTGAGTATGAATGCAGGTGAGCACTCGTGAGTATGAGTAGCCGTGATTTATGAACGCGCTTGAATACTTGTGGACGCTGGCAGAGACATGAGTAGAGTTAGTACGCTGGGCGTGCTCGGGCCTACCAAAAATCCTGATTGGCAATACTGGGCCGGGTAAATCAGTTTCCACGGTGGGTCCGGGGCAGGCTTGGGTCTCAAGCTCCGTGCTTAAGGTGCTTAAGGTGCTCCGTGCTTAAGGTCACGGGCTTGGTCGGAGTTCGGTCTATACTTGGTTCTTAAGATTTTTCTACTTGCGTTGTGCATACGCATAATTCCACATATCTCTTTTCGAAGCGAATGCTGTTATGTGGGTGAAGCTTATACGGAGATTTACAACTGTGATGTCCTGAACTTTTTTTGCCTCTTGCATATGGGGCTACGTTAATTATGTGAAATGGGTGCGCTAAAGCACGTTAATCGTACCCAGTACGTGCACTCAACTGTTTTCATTTTGAGCCCCTTTTTACATGAAACTACCGTAGGTAAAGTGAACTGATTTTAGCAAGGGACGGCGCACTGCTCTCCCATAGTTGAGTACGAAGTACTCGAAATCGTCAAACACTTTTTGCTAAATATATTCGTTAACAATGCATATGCGCCAAAAATCTTGCACATATTTGTCACTTCAAACAGCTCGCTTTCGATTGCATGTTCGAGTAAAATGTCCTAGATCATTGGCTCGGGTCTATATCGGGCCCGGTCTGCCGTCGAGCCGGGCCGGGTATGTGAAATATTCTCTCTGGCTTGCGCGAGAAAAGGGTCTTGCTTTGAGTCACGGGCCGGGCCCGTCTGTTCGGCAACGCGTGATATTACCTCAAACGCTTCTCTTTTCTCAAGGTCAATGGTTTTTTTTTTGGGGGGGGGGGGGGGGTACTCCTACTCAGAAACTTTGGTCTGTCTGCCAATCGCCTCAACCACTCAGCGAAAGTTACGCATATTTATGCGCAACACCAATACGTGAGCATTAAGTGGTGTGCTTTTTTACTTGAGTAATGCATAGTTAGGTATAGAAAGACAGCAGTGTTTATTACGCAGCGCTGACAATGTCACTCTATGAGCCAAAAAGCGTGTACGTGTTGCCTACGCAGAGCAACTGGTAAGTTACTCTGCGATATAAAAAACTTCCGTTCCTTGACATTACTGCCAGATGGCGTTCATATGCGACACAGCGCCTTTACACAGAAGACTGCAGTTTTTTGACGTCTTTTGCAGCGAAACACGGTGACACTAGTCCAACTTTTCTTTTTCATGAACGCGCGTTTTTTTTAGTGTGATTGTGAGCAGGCAGCGGCATTCCGTGGTGGCAGCGGTAACTATGAAGCTCATGATGTCTAATTAGGCCAATGGCCATTGACTTAATTTGGGTTCATGGAAAGGTCGTTTGGGTTTATGGCATCATTTGTCGAGAGAAGAGCGAGCGATTTCTAGCTGACTTTGATGAATTATTTCTATTCTCAAGCCACGTGCTGCGCTTGTCATATTTAGCTTAGGAGTTCTCGGAAGCCTCCACTACAGATCGGCGGCATTTTTGGATTACGCTGAAGATTGGTTGTATGGCCCCTTTCAACCTTCTTGAATGTAACCGACTACTACAAGGTGTCAGTTCATTTTATTTTGTTTTTACGTTTCCTTAAACGTTTGAAAGTTTCCGCAGGCCTGATATATTGTGCGAAGCAATCAGAACAACCTCCATGTGATGTCATAGCACACTTACGTGGGCTCTCTGTCCTCGTCGCAAAGTTGAGAAAGCCTCCTCATTAAAGCATTTTCTTCGAGCCTCTGAGTGATTGTCGACATGGAATCACTCCTTCTGAGACGTCCAACCTGTAATAATTACCCGTGGGATCATAGCGACAAAAAGCAGCAATAATGTCCAACGTTTTTCAATGTTCCTTTTTTTTTCTTTTTCGTCCGTATTTTTAATTTATTTTTTTTACTTTTTTTCCAGTCGCGTGTTTACTCAGAAGTTGAATTGGTAGGTTCATACACGTTTTCACTAAGAAATTATGCACACTCTGCGTAAAACGACGAAAAAAAAAAGAATAGCGAAAAGAGGAGTAATGTGACTACTAAAATTTCGGTAGATTTAATGTAACAATGTACACGGGCTATATAGCAGCCACCTTCCTATGGAACGGCCAAACAACATGTGTGCACGGGTCACATCCACATCAAATATTTTCTCAAGAACGAGGAAGCACGAGCTCTGTTTCAGTGGTTTTCAAATTGCTTTATTCGTTCATTTACTTATTGTTGTTGGTGAAACCATCTGCTTCATTTTCTGCATTCGTTATTTCTAATTGTATGTTTCTGATTTAATTTTTGCCTGTTTTTTATAGTTTAAAAACCGTCAGCCAACAAATTAACGGTATTTCGTCAGAACTACCCGGTTCTTGGCCGATCCCCCTGCGCGGGTGTGTGTGTCACAGTTTCCAGGCACTTCCTTCCTTTCTTCCTAAAAGTGGAGTGTATTTGTCTGCGCATTGCCATGCTTGTCATCGCGTGAGCCACGGCTGGACGATATTGGGATTTCGGGCCGAAGCAAAGATGCAGCCGGTGCGTGATAATTGTTGGAAGCCTTCCACATCAGTGGATCAGATGGTCGCGGGTTCGATTCCGGCCGCGGCAGTCGCATTTCGAGTGAGGCGAACTGGTATAGAGGCCCGTGCGGTGTAAGGGCGCATTGAACAACACTCCTATTCAACAAGTTCCTTGTTTTAAATATTTAGGCGTCACTTTTGATGAACACTTACACTGGCATGAGCAAGTACAAAGTGTGTGCGCAAAGCTAGCCTATGGCTGCTATTCTCTAATAAAAGCTCGCCAATATTTTCCACAAGCTATTCTCCGCACACTCTACTTTTCATTGTGTCATTGTCACATAGGTTACTGTCTGGAATCGTGGGGTGTGACGTACAACAGTTATCTAAAAACTCTTGAGCGACTTCAAAAGCGTACACTGAAAATCATAAGCCAAGGTGAATCAGTAAGTAATATTTTCCAATCACAACGCATTCTCTCAGTTCCGATGTTGCGTGACTACAAAATTGCTGTTTCAGTAAATAACATAATTAATAGAAATTCACCTTTGCCTGCTGATCTTTTTTCAATTCTTAAACGCAATACGCGACATGCTTCGAATGGTAATTTCAATCTGCCCAAATGTTTTAATGTTTACGGAGAAAGACTGATACAGTTTAGTGGAACAAAAATATGGAACACGGTCCCCCTAGAGATTAAAACGGCACGTAATTTCAGCATGGCATGTAAATCATTTTTTCTGTGGAGTCAAGACATGTAAGCATGTGTGTGTGATTCGATTTTCATTGTATTTTTTAATAAGTGCCTATGTATAGAAACTAGCTGCAAGCTAATAAGTATGCATATCTGCAAGAAAAAATGTATTACTGTGTTATCTGTATCACATGATTGTTTTTTTTATGTTGTTACCTCAGAGCTGACCTGTACACTTTTTTATGTTGCACATTGTATTGGACCGTCCACTAGCCACTTTAGGCTATCGGTCCAAATAATCCCTGTAATTGCATATATCTATTTATGAAAATAAAGCTTCATTGATTGATTGATTGATTGATTGATTGAAGAACACCATACGGTCGAAATTTCCGGAGCCCTGCACCACGGCGTTTCTTATAGTCATATCGTGGTTTTCGAACGTCAAAAATCCCGGATAGCCCCGCCGCGGTGGTCTAGTGGCTAAGGTACTCGGCTGCTGACCCGCAGGGCGCGGGTTCGAATCCCGGCTGCAGCGGCTGCATTTCCGATGGAGGCGGAAATGTTGTAGGCCCATGTGCTCACATTTGGGTGCACGTTAAAGAACCCCAGGTGGTCTAAATTTCCGGAGCCCTCCACTACGGCGTCTCTCATAATCATATAGTGGTTTTGGAACGTGAAACCCCACATATCAATCAATCAATCAATCAATCAATCAATCAATCAATCAATCAATCGAAAATCCCGGATATATTATTACTATTATTCTATATTCAGGATTTGGGGAAATTGTGTATCAGCGCGATACTTCGGTTTCCCTTTTTCCTGCATATAGTCGTCCTTTGGAAAGTGTGCTGATGGTGATGTGACGTGTGTCGGTATGCTGTATAGCACTTAGCGCGGAAACGTGGCTGTTATATGGCCTGCCTGCAATGCTTTATTGAGTCAGTCGAATTTTTTTTTTAAATCCAGGCTGCGGCGGCTGCAGTTTCGATGGAGGCGAAAATGCTGCTGGCCCATGTGCTCTTATTGACGGACACGTTAAGAACCACAGGTGTTAGAAACTTCTAGAGCCCTCCACGATGCCGTCTCTCATGATATGATTCGGGAAGTTTAAACCAACATATTGCTCAATTAATCCAATCAATCAATCAATCAATCAGTTGAAATTTAGCGCTCATATTGCTTCTCTTCCTCCCTTTATTTTTTGTTTTGCCCAAAGTGACCGTAGTTATCTTTGTCTGAAGTAATACTGTTCCATTTCCAACAGCATTGAACGATATATCGATGTTGCGCTCATGTTTACGTTGATTACTTTTCTATTTTCGTATGCCTGTCCGAAAAATGCGACATTTTTTTAATTTACAAACGTTAAAAATGTTGTTACACTCGATATTTTACCATTTGACTGTATATCCACAACGCTTTCACTTTCTCTACGTCTCTGTGGTATTTTATTTTCTTATTATTATTAAGATAACTTACATCGTAACTTTCACAAATAACAAGCAATTGAGTAATAATCGCCCACCATAGCATCGGAAACAAACTTATAAGTCTGCCGTGGTTTTGTCTCACCTTACGCCGATCCTTCTCCAACTTTTCATTCCCTTTAAAGAGTCTAAATTTAACTTTCTTGTGCGACCTTTCGGAATGTAGTGCAGATAATTAGTTAAACTAATTAGTACTTAATTAACAGCGCTCACCTTTTCATACAGCCCATCAACAAAGCTTGCGTTCATCAGCCAGGGAGCGTAGCCGACGTATGGGACTATGTTCCAAATCTGCAAATAAACGAAATAATAAAGAAAATATGCTTCAAATCTACACAACGAATCTCATTTGCGTGCAGACTATTATTACCAGTCACTAATGGAACTCGAGCAGTGTTCACAAGAACGTGGCCATAAAGTTCCGGGGGAAGTCCGCGCATATTGCAGGAAACAAACACAGCGCCATGCGTCCCCTCTCACCATTTTTTTTTTTACGGCAACAGCGACATATCTCATGAAATGAGAAAATTGACCCGCGTCTCACATTGGCTTCCTCTTTCGGCATCCGGACGAGTGATGCTAAAAAAATTCAGCCAGCTCCGCTTGCCAGACACTGGTGAACAGCGAAGCGAATAGCTTACAAGCCTTCGCTTTGCCAATTATTTTAGGTCGTTGAACCAAGCGGGGTTCGAATGAAGTGGGACATGAATTAACCCTTTTAGACGTTTTGTACATAATTGTTCACACCGCTTGTTTTTTATATTTGCGTCGACTAGGGGCTCATAAAGCTCAAGATACGGTTATATTTAGATGAAGTGAACCTCCTGCCTAATTACCTCGTCATCATTTAACCTCAGTTTCCACCGTGCTCTTGCATATTGTCACTTTGCTGAAGGCACTACAGTGTTCAACGAACTTTTGATTAGGCGCTTCCCCAGAGCCACGTCGAAGTATTTTTTTTTTGTTCTCAAAATCAACAAAACAGAAACCAATTCGCACTATATTTCTAGCCTAATATTTGATTTTATTTATGCAAGAACACAGCATGAATGCCTTCGGGATAAGTATATATTTAATCTAAGCTTAATTTGGATGAACTGCTGGAAAGTGCATCCATCAATCTGCTAAAAAAATACTTTTGTCTCAATAGAATATAGAGTGCTTCGACGCGTCAATTTCACATACAGTTCTTTAGTGGTGGCGTCTGAAAGAGTTAATTAGGTAGATTTGAATTAAGTGGGAACTAAGCGGGAATCATGTGGAGTAAAGTGGGTGTACGAAGTTGAAGGCGTTGTGGGAGCAGTATAGGGGTTGAAGAGGTGAGTCTGTGGAGTTGTGATCTTATTTTTGTACCACATTTCATTCCTCTTACATTATTATCCAGGACGGGGTAGCCAGCTAGTCTCAAAAGATGGCTCACAGACACTGCTTTTCGTCCTTCCACATATCACTCCTTCCTCCTCGTTTTTCTTCTACTGCAGTTCGTTTCTGTTCATTGGTAATTGTTACTGAAAATATTGTTTAAAAACGACCCATGACTTCCTTGGCTTCACTGTGTGTTGCCGTGATTTCCCAATTATAATAGTGCAATGCAACCACAAAGTAACGTTGAAGCATGTACGCACCTTTTCCATGGCTGGCTTTTTGGATTCCTGGTCCGCCCACGGAACACGCATCACTTCCTCGTAGTACCTTTTCCCGATTGCGTTCAGAACGTATCTTGCCTGCACAAGGTTTTCGGAGACTGTCGAAGGCGCCACAAAAAAGAAAAAAAAAAGAACTCGCACTAAGACAACACACCCCCATTCTTCACCATCCTCCATCACGCCTCCGTCTTTGTGTCCGTGTGGCTTGCCTTAGTCCGTGTTCACCACAGCGCAACCCTTCCTCACTGAATTTCGAACGCGCCCATATAACAGCGTTTCCAAGAAACAGCAGCGTTCCCCGTAAGTTGTAGCACGCAATTAAAGGCGGGCTTTGATGAAACGAAGAAGTTGAGGAGAACTTGTGCGCAAAAAACGAACAACCCAAAGAAACTCTGTGTGACCAGAATCTGAAAAAAAACTGTCGTATAAAGATACGACAGTCTATTTTCATTACTTCATCTCTTCTTGTTTTTTTTTTCTGTTGTGTATCACGTGTGGAGCGTAGCTGCTGTTGCATGGCTTGACCTGGCACGTGCTGCTTGCTGAATTGGTCACTTTTCAAGTAAGCCGTCCACGATCGGCATATCGTAAGTATTGGACAGCGCGCGTAGTTTGAAGGTGTCTTGTGCCAATGCCACATCTTAAAAACAAAATCTCTTTCATTTTAGTTTTCTTGTGAAATCCACGCACAAGACGAGCGTGGGATAAACAATGTCTGGAAATTTGTGCACTCTGTAGCTAAAATTTTGTTTTGTAAGTAATTCATTAACTGGCAGCACGCCTGTATTTACCTGCTTTTTTGTCATAGTTTGTGTTATTCTCCGGAGATACTTGGCACTGCTTCCGAAGCACTCGTCTCGGTATGTACCGGTTGCTTATTCTGTTTTTACTCTGTTTTAACGTCCGACCTGCGGCGCTAAAAGCTATGTAAGACACGACCCGTCTTCATGCGGGCTCGACTGGGTGAACTAGGCTCGCAGAGCCGGTTCGGATAATCCCGACTCGAGTTTTCGTTCAGCCAGACCAACCTGACAAGCGCAAAAGGCGAACTTTAACGCGAGAGTCTTACTCGACCAATCTTTGCCGAGCTGATGTGAAGTACCTGATCAGGTTAGCAATCTGATCCTTAATCAACGTTCTTTCGGCCCCGTTAAGTTGTTTACTATGATGCACGATAGAATTCTGCCTGAAAGGTGGACTCGATCGACTATTGTCAAGTACATGTACAGGTTTGTTCATGCATGAGACTAACATTTAATTAGTGTTCTAGAATTGTAACATCTGATATTTAAATACACATCTCATACCTAGTCCGTATAATAATTTTGCTTTTGTCGACACCATGGCCAAACGTCGTATAGCGGACTTTTTCTTCGTGAAGTAGAATAAGCGCTCAAGTTTCCTCTGTTTGAAAACTAATGAGATTTACACCTTAGACGAGATCTACCTTGTAAATTATGTATAAACTGTGTAAAGTTAAAGAGCTTGGTTATATTACTGACAAGGGTTTGTTCGCTTCAAGTCAGATTAAAGCCGCTAATGTGGATACACGCTTGCGTAAGCAACTTATACTGAAGCAAGATGTGGGAGCGGGCTAACTGGTGTTTCATTTTTTGAAATTGAAATTGAAAACTATTTGCCCTGTAGAAACACACAGGATCTTACATTTGAAGCGCAAAAGGGTAGACAGTTTACAAAGGGGACCATGAGGACAAGCGCCAACTTCTAAATATCGGTTATTAAAGCAACGCACAAAAACATATACCGGTCACAAGACATCATAACTATATCAGTCAAAGAGTGAAAAGACAAACTTAAGTCAGGCAGCAGTCAACCTATGTAGACAGAACACGTGCCGACCAATTTAGGTAATCTAGTTTTTCTTTTTGCTTGTTGGTTTGTTAGTACGATGGATGACTTTCTCGTCGTCCGCTTTGTCCACTGTCTACTTTTTTTGCGCTTGAACTGTAACAGCAAGCGACTTACCTGCCACTTCGTACCGTCGTTAAAGTTGTTCTCGACGTAGAGCTTGCTGACGACCTCGGGCATCAATTCGGTGAGCAGCTTTTCGCAACTTCCTGCCATGTTTTCTAGTTCGCCCGCCTTCTCCCCCAACATTTCCGCTATGGCGTCCCGGTAGGCTTTTGAAGAATACCACAGGAGGTTGTGAGCTTCGTATGCGCCTAGGCTGTTGTACGCACTGACCCTGCACGCGAAGTGTTGATGAAGATGAAGATCTCTACAATTTTTTTTTTTTTTTTTTTTGCAAAATCAGTCATTTTAGTCCCCTTGGACGAGGGTCTGTATATATTGGTGAAGCAGTCGTTTCAGTTCCCTTAGATGGGGAACTATGCTTGTAAAGCAGTCATTTTAGTTACCTTGGACGAGGGTCTATACAGATATTGGTGAAGCAGTCGTTTTAGTTTTTTTAGACGAGGAACTATGCTTGTAAAGCAGTCATTTTAGTTTCCTTGGACGAGGGTCTATATAGATATTGGTGAAGCAGTCGTTTTAGTTCGCTTGGACGAGGAACTACGCTTGTAAAGCAGTCATTTTAGTCCCCTTGGACGAGGGTCTATATTGGTGAAGCAGTCGTTTTAGTCTCTTTGGACGAGGGTCTGTATTGGGGAAGGCGGCTGCTTGTGCTTTCTCGGTGCGCTCTTGGATGTTCAGACCAGAGCTGGAACAACCTGCCTGCCGGCCTTCAATTCAGAAATTTTCATCGGGTTAGTTGGTAATGATTTATATGTAACGTGAAACTTTTAGAAGAACCAATGCAAGGAGGATTAATACGAATTGCTTTTCACTTGGCCTCTTTGTATAATTTCTTCATCATAGTTTCGCACTGTCTACAATGACACCTGGTTAATATGTGTGGCCTGATTTTTTGGGCACTCCCATACTATTTGGTATACAAATTTACGAAATTCCAGTACCACTCATACTTCTATACAAAAAGCCTACATTCCTGGCTGAAAGTTTCTGGACCTTATGTCATTTGAACGTAGACACAACGTAAATCACTATCGTCATCACCAACGACATATTTTCAACTTCCGAGCTCAGGTAGCTCCGATAAATATTCGAACATGTCTCCGTTAGCGCCAGCATATTGGATCTCCTGCCTGTAGGCGTCCCAGTTTCTTGACTCTTTGCCATCCTTCATTGTCCTCTTGACTAAGCGCACATACGTCCACTCTGATAGAGACCAGCCGAGTCGTCAGACTAGCTACCAGCCAATTACGTAATATATGGTGTGTCATGCTCCATTTTTGTTCCTTATGTCAACTAGAATGTAAAATAGTGCAGTTTTCCTCTTATAACAATGAACGATGATCCATTACAATACTACTACTTATCATTCCATTGCATATGAAAGACAATTTCGCGTTAGGTCACTTAATCAAATTATTTAAACTGAACCCTCTCATTCGATATATATTTTATGTTTAGGAGCCTACTACTTGTATCATTACCACGATGATCGGTTTTCAGCTGTTAGAAAAAATTTTAGTTCAATCAAAATGATGTTCTTGCTAGACCTTTGAATTGTTATGTTCCATTTAGTTCGAATAAACCAAAATTGTTTTTATTGATTTAGTGTTAGTGTTAGTAATTATATTATGTCACCCTATTCATGAACAATCATTTGAGGTGCACGTACGTCATTCAAAATTAAAAACAACACTGAAACAATGGCAGAGCACGTAACTTTTATGTGTTTCTAAAACACTAATGTCTAACCACGCAAAGCCATAACGAGGGGTACCGCACAACTGCGGCGCGGCTCATAGTCATCCACCATGATCTTGGTGCGTAGAAACAGGAACCTAACTGTTGTTTAATCTATTAAGCCTTTTACGTTCAACAGTGAGCTCAACCATTCTTTAGCATTCAGACGCAAATTGGTTCACTCGTAGCCCAGGAAAGTATCCGTGCGTTTGTCATCTATTTGGACTTCGGGAATAAACGAGCCTAATGTTATTTCCAAGCGTGAAACAACTTGCTATGTCATAGAAATAGCGTCCGACATAATAAAGTAATGGTCGAGCTGAGAATAAAAGCCGTCGTTGCGGAAGACTTGAACATTGGGCGTATACTCATACGATCGAACCAACTCACACATTTTTGCTGTAAAACTCCACGAGGCCTTTGAGGTTATCCAGAGCCAGAACTTCTATCATCTCTGCGTCTGTCAGCGTAGTGCCGACCTTCTTGAACTCGTTGTTAAATAGCTTCAGCCAAGGCACCTAAAGGAGACAAAAGATTTAGGGCACGACGTTAAGAAACGTTGAAAGAAAGTTCCATACGGTCAACTATATGTGCTTTTGGATAGCAAAGTGACAATCTTGGTTCAATACATAGGTCCCTCAAAACTATCCAGTAATTGCAATACCAAGATAATCTTATCTTTTGTCGACAGCACGTTGAGCTTGTTTGCAAGGTTCAAGTTGCCTGAAGCTTCTTATAGCGTGTCACATTTGCCTCCGAGATCTCTAAGTACCTCACTTACGATAGCGGGGCATACACTTAATGCAAGCACTCGGTATGTGGTAACGTGTTCCGACATACTTTGTTTCCTGTGTGCCTCAAATATATCCGACTGTGGATATGTTTGCCCATGGTGGGTGGAGTTAGCAAGACAAGTGTTTGCACTGGCTTGTGGAATATTGCCTGAATGTTAATTTGCGCGTCTTGTTAACACTTGAAAAAGAGCATAAAATTTTCGGAAGACGCAACGACGCTGGTCTAAACATCTCAGGCTTCACACGGCATTCGCTGGGGGCCCACTAGATGGCCCTAAAATGAGCGCAACCTCAAACAAATCTCTTTCTGTTTGCGCAAGTCGGCCAACGGGCACGCAATGTAGTAGACATACAGACATGGTTTGCCTTTCTTTTTGCATTTTCGCTGATTGTCAGCTGCAAGCAGTGATTTTTGTCTTGCAGCTAAAAAAAATATTGTGTTCATCTGAAGCAGCAGCTCTATTTTCTGTCATTTACTTGCTCCAAAGTATCGTGCTTACATTTTGATGGTTGAGCCTTGCACAATATGTGTTCAGTTTCCATAGAAGCATTTTCCCACAATACGTGTGAACTTGCGCAATGTGCTTACATAACTGGTTCGCACATTGACAGCTAGAAATGCATAACTACAAAAATACTGAGCAATTACAAAGTGAAATCGCAACTGTAACCCTACATTGCACCTTACAAAGCCATGAGTGACAATAATATTCGTTTTCGTTTTACACGCCGAGGCCACGGCACGCTTGTCTTGTCGGCATCTAATTGAAGGCATCTAATTAAGGCATCTAATTGAAGTTTGTGCGCCTAGAAGAAAGAAGACATTAGCCCGTGGCGAAGCATATTCTTCAGCCACAAGCATAGGCACCGGCAGGATTTTTCATATGGGGTTGCAAACCCTTGTTGCCCCATTACTTTGGGAGGAGTGGCAAGCTGGTACATCTTATGGGACACAAATCCTGGTGTGGCTTAAGGTGGCAAGTCGCCCTCGCTGAACCTCGCTGCCAACGCCCACGGGCTGACAGCCCATATATACAAGTTCAAGGGCATTCCACGTCTCGAAGCTTCCACCTTCTCTGACCCTATGCGGCGGCACAGTCACGTTATTCACTATTTAAGTGATAGGCTCGTATTCACAAACCAAGCTCGGCCTTACCTCACATTTTCTTCAACTTCCTGTACTCTCTACGTGCGTTATAAAGGCACAAAAAAAGATAACAGGGCGAAACATAAGGACAAGGCTCGTTCGTCAATACTGGTTCGAATTGTTTATCATGCGCAATAAAGGTTTAAAACCGACAAGAAAAACTCGAGGAAAGGATGAGGTTGGTTTGTGAATACGGTGCATAGTCTTTCTTGGGATACTTCGACGCGACAACTTTGGTTTGTCTATCCGTGTATCGACTTGTCTGTGTTTTAAAAAAGTGGTTAACGATTTATATTACTTGGTACTTCACTGTGGGAGAGCATAAATCCGTCCCGTTAAACTGGTTTAAGAGAATTTTATTTCCAGGTATGTCTTGCATAGCTTATGTGCACAAATAAATATGGACAGTGATGATCATGTGCATGTACAGTGCAAGCTGTTATATGTATACAACGAAAATAACTTACTTGTGTATGCAGTAGTGTACAATGCAAATTCGTACAGGGACAGAACATTCATGAACATCGAGATTAGTTCACTTACATAAACAGTCCCGTTGAACTGACCGAGGACTGGCTTTTATTTTTGACTTCTGAGCCAATAGCCCCAAATTTTAAAATCCAACTACATCCGCAGAGCCCACCAATACTGCTCTGGTTTCTGCGTTCATATTTGTGCGTAGTATTAATAAAAAGCAAATGTTGCGCATATATCTGAGGCAAAACATCAACACTTCAATATACTGCGCCGTGTTTCTCTATGCTATAAAAGCCATACATAGGTAATTTCAAGGAACGTAGCGTTTATTACGTTTAGCTGACAATACAACGCTATGCACGAAAAGGCGGGTGTTTCTCTGCGCTTCGCTAAGACGATACGGTGGTGGCGCTTACCCGCTGCGCACATCGAAGCACTTCAACGCAGTGCCTCCAGAATCTCATTCACCGACTTTCTTCAGGCAGAACATTAAACAAATGTTTTATTCGCTCTCCCCAGACGGAAGACTATCGCTACTCGATAGCATTTGCAGTCAAACATGCAGATACGGGGCAATTTTTAGCACTTACACTGGGTATTTCGCTTTCTATCTCGTTGATCGTCATTGCCGTACTGTTCTTTGTTGCTCGCTCCATAGACATCGCGGCCTCTTGCAACTGTACAGAGAAAAATATGGACAACAAATTGAACAAGTTATCTTCTATTTTTTTACGCTTTCGCAGACAGCAGTGGAGCTTCCTGTATTATAGCGACTGTGGAATCTAGGTTATTAAAAAAATAATAAGGCAGATTAATTAGCTCTGGTGGTGCAGTGCCCAAAGGATGAGTGGGGTTGGGCAGGCTTTTTTTTTGTTTCTTTACGGCATTCTCTTTGTTTTCCCCTCTTTATTCTATTTTTCTGTTTGCCAGTTTTTATCTGCCTTTCTTTGTGTGTTTATGTCCATTTATTCCTCAACTTTTCCTTTTTTTTCCTTCCTTCTTTTCCGTTTCTTTCTGTTCCTCGCTTGCGTCTCTTTATTTCTTTCAATTTTGGCTGTGGGTTTGACTTTGTCTGCATGGCTCTACCTGCGTTACGCCAAGCAATCACAGCACGCGGCATTCTGGGGCCGCCAAAGTGCTCTGCACTCAACACACTCAACGCAGAGGTGCACCTGCTTTTTAAGAAGGCACAAACAGCACAAATGATGGGAGTGACGTGAGCAGCAGCTATGGAAACGGCGCCATTACAGGAAGCAATTTCACCATTTCACACGAAATTACGGGAATTAAGAGCACCTATATGGTCACAATTGAAGCGTCACAATGCAACGCGACTTTATCGAATGTAAATAGCGTAAGAAAGCGCGAAATCAGTTTCACGAGACCGCACAAGACCGCCTTTCAGTATCTTCGTAGAGGCTTACAAAAGAAAAGATAACGGCCGCATTGTCCATTATTTCATTGCCCACTTCATTTGTTAAACGAGAGCAACAATTTTGAGTAGTTAAGACTACTATGTTTTTTTTTTTCAGTGATCTAAGTCATTATGAAGAAGGGCATTCTAAGAAACAGTTTTCAAGCATGCAGCTTTGAATATATTTTTCGTCGATGCCCTCAATTACCAAAATAATAATCATTAGTTTAAGTGGATGCATATCTTGAGATCTGCCTTCAAGGAGCAGGACGGCGTCAATGGGAGCCACCGGGTAACGAAAACTCTGCGCATTGGCCGTGACCATCTGTGTATATGCGTGCCTCCTAACCATTACGCATCGTTGCTTGCAGATTAAATCCGATTAGAATTTGGCCCTCAATGGTTGCTGCTCGTAAAACCGTGCCTCACTACTCAACAGCATATGGAACAGCATATGACCGCGAGTCACCATGGGTCAGTGCGTGCGGTGTCTCATTCAGGGACGACAAAACAAGCAGTAACACACACCTTCACCCACTTGTCCGCAAACTCCACCACAGAGTTTGCGTATTGCTCCACCTGGTCATCCTCCACGTACAGATTGAGCATTTTTACCGCAGTTTTGAGCGCGCTGATCTGCAGCGGCTTCAGGTCATCGGGGTCGGAGGAGTTCTGCAGTACGTCGATCATGTGCCACGTAAAATACATCTTAGGAGGTAATGGCCCCAGCTGGAATGAAAAAAAAATGCTCCATTTGTGAAATCGGAGCAAACAGCGGAGCTGGGAAGCAAGCGGCCATGCGCACATCTGACAAACACAGATTGAGTTCTCTCTTCCTCTTATGCTCCATTTTTAAAAATTTTTGTTTTATCTATTTCTATAATACACTTATCCCCCTTTCCCTCTTCTTGACCACCACTTCTCTTTCCCACCCTTCTATATCGGTTCTCTCTAATTTTGTGTTAGCTTCCAAGTGCGGTGAAACTGCAGGCTTGCGTAAAGCCCGTCCGATTAACTGGGAACAACCTAGATAACGTTAAAACTTTGCCGAAACTACCACTTGTGTGAGTTGTTTCATGTATAATATGGATTTAGCCGTGCAAAAATACTAAAGTAAGAAGGAATACACAGACAGAGCGCTTAACATCTACACCGTTTTCAGAAGGTTGACATTATATAAAACCTTAGCAGTTCCAGAGAACCAAGATCACGAGAGATGCCTCAGTTGTAGGGCTATGGAAATGTATACCACCTGGGGATCTTTAACGTGCAATCGAAGTGCATAGCGCTCGACCATTTAAAGTTCGCTTCCATCGAAATTGCGGCCGCCACGGCCACGATTCGCAATCGGACACGATAACCGCCAGACAACCGCGGCGGGTCTGCGTCTCTTGGTGACCTTCTCAGACTACTGATTTTGCTTTGAACAGTACGTTGTACTGCTACGTTGTGCTGTCGGAGATGAAAAGGAAGGCAGCTCTAAGGAAGGCAACTTGTCCTGGTATTCGCGTGAACTTGACTTGGCCTTGTATGCCTGGCTCTATAGAAAAACAAGCTCGGCATATTTAAAAAGAAACAACATAGGTTATTAAAATCTTGGTCGGGGTTAGTACGGCTTTGTCAGCGTCTTCCATTCTGTTTGAAAACATGCTACTTTTCCCCTTTAGATGTTCAGTTCGTTACTTGCGCTTGTATTCTGTCCTTTCTTGTGATTCGTGTCTTTTGTGTTCTAACCGTCATGAATTATGTTCCAAGTAGCCCAATTTGCTACACTACTTCAGACATCTTTCTGGTCAACCTCTCTGCATTCTTCTTTTCGTTTCCTTTCTTCTTTTTACGGAGCACATCAGACATTTTCTCGTCACTCTTTGCTTTACTTTAAGACGGGTGGCAATTATTTTACATTTCCTAGTCTAACGTGATTTTCCCTTTCTGTGCTTCTCATACGCTATACCTATTCGACTCCTTAATCCCTGCATTATTATTTGTCAATTATATCGACTACTGTAAGGGGGGTCCCGATTCAGTCTCCGACTATGGAACCACCTTCCGTACACACGAATTCCGCTACTGATTCGATCACAAAATGAAACCACATCCGACTCTGACTCGATTCTTTAGGCAAAACCTGTTTTAGAGAAAGGGCACCCTTTTGTGCGGTTTTCATGGGTTCTTACCTTTATGGCGCTATGGCCAGCTTTGTCCTTCACAACGTCGATCTCGAAAACCGAGGACAGTCCCGTTTTCTCGAGAACGTCCTCTACGCTTTGAGGCTCTCCTTTCTTGTCTGGGCCACTTGAGAAGAGTGGCCATTGGCCGAGGCCCTTTTTGGCCAGATTTATTGTTATCACCGCCCTCTCCTGCTCTTCGCTCAGCTCTGTAAGGAACCGTGGTTGATTAAAAGAGAACGCAAAAAGAAAGGAATGTTTTGCAGCTGTTACCAGTTATGAAATTAGGTTCACTCGATGCTATGCAAGTGCTACTTTGATTGTCCTGCTTTTTTTTTTGTCAGCTGTAAGTTTTATTCTAATATGCAGCAAGAGTATCGTTAACCCTAACTTCATTACAAACCATCATTTTGCCGGTACCAAGAGCTAGAGAACGTTCGAAAGGTATCGTAAGATTTCATTGCTAGTTGGTATGTATTGCAGGCTAGGCGTATTTCGCATGGAGCGTTTTATATTCCGACATTTGTTTTGAGCTCAGGAGCATAGCCGGACACCTGACAACTGGGAAAAAACTAAGCACTGGATGCTCACCAGCAAGAATAATGAAATCACTAATAGTGAGGCACGACTTAGGTAGATAACGTGCAGAGTAACTGCATGCCCGTATAGTTCTGCGATTATCTAATGATGAAAGTTGTCCGAAAAATCATATTGATTCGTTATCTACATTGATGCGCAAGCTTTTTTTCTTATGCAGTTTGTGGAGAGCACCAAGCTTTAAAGAGAATTGCGCACTGAAGTGACAGTTCTCATTTTCATTCCTTCAAAATGAAAAGTATTCGACGTTCCGATCATTATTGAAAGGATTTTTTTTTACTATTCTTATTGCACTCGGTTCGAAAATTTCTGTTGTTAGAGCTGTTTCCTTCTGCGTTCAAGCTAATTAAGTTACTTTCTGCGAATCGCTAAGGACCTAAATCTTAATGTCAGAGAGTTCTTTAATTCCTCGATGATTCAATCTCAGCCACTGCGGCCGGCAATTCAACATCAGGAGACCTCTCGTTTGAATGCGCAACGCTGCTATGGGTTCTACCGCGATTTTCAAACAACGGTCAAGACACACATAATCTCCTTATGTTGCAGCCCGCAATGGCGTTTCAATAACCTGGTTTAAAGGCCCGGTTCCTGGAGGCTCCTTAATTTCAATCAATCAATCAATCACTTTTCTTTGAATGAACTTACCACTGTTCATGCACACATGGTAGGCCAAGGCGACTTTATCACTCGCGCTGTCAGCTTCCGTGATATTTGGAAGGTTTTGAAATATTTCTGTTTGGGGAATAAAACCAACAGAACATGCAGTATTTGTTTGTTTGTTTGTTTGTTTGTTTGTTTGTTTGTTTGTTTGTTTGTTTGTTTGTTTGTTTGTTTGTTTGTTTGTTTGTTTGTTTGTTTGTTTGTTTGTTTGTTTGTTTGTTTGTTTGTTTGTTTGTTTGTTTGTTTGTTTGTTTGTTTGCACGTGGTATTGTATTCGTTGGCAACAACCACAGTCATTCGCCAGTTGGCTATCACGTTCAAGTTTCGAATGAAACAACAATGATAATGCGTTAAGCAAAATATTTGATGTATTCAAGAGTCCCCAACCAAACTGGGCCATGATTTCTACTGATTGTATTTCTAAGCAAAACGAATTAAGACAAAGCATTTTTCCGCTGTCTAAATTATGAATAGTTAAATTGATTAGAAATTGTGTTAAGTGGGAGTAACCTTTCAGGTATGTCCGACCAAACTGACCAAACTGGCAACCAAACTTGGCCACGGGTTTTTCTAACTCACTAAGGTGGACTAAAGCCCAGGAACCGCGGTTGGTGCGACCAAGTACTGTAGTTGTATACTTTTTATTTTCTTTTTCCATCTGACACGCAGCATGTCTGAATCACTCTATATATTGTATACGAATACACGGCGTTTCTTTGTACGCGGGCTTCGAGACGCCAGCAGGCACAAACAACATTAAGCTAGCAAAGTTGTTGCAAAACAGTGCACAGCAAACTTTTCAGACAAGAGCATTCTAGAGTTCAGTAATGTCGAAAGTTGGGTGAGTTGGTCATAGTTCATGATTACTTCTGAAGCAGCGCACGACGACAAACACAAAAGGAAGTGTGTCAGCTTGGGCTAGTTGGTATGACATGACGATAGGTATAGCGCGAGAACAAAACGACGACCTTCTTGTCTCTGTGTCGTCGTTTTGTTCTCGCGCTATACCTATCGTCAAGACAAAAGGAAGGATGCAGCAGTGTCCTATCGTTCCTTTTGTGTTTGTCGTCCTGCGCCGCTTCATAAGTAACATTATGTAATTCACTACACGAGCCGCATTGTATACCTGACAGGTCACTCGCAACTTTGGCCCGCACTTGGTCCGCAGGATCGAGTGCGTCTGCGCCACCTCCCTTTTGGTGCGAGCCACAGGCGTAGGTGTAGAAGTCGTCGCACGGATCGCCCTTCTCGTTCATATTGTCCATAATGAACTTTGCTGCAATATCCAGATATTTCGCACGACCAGAGTCCACAAGTCGCACTTTTTTACAAAAGTATCAGTTATTTCTATGAGAGCCTCACATTAACACTCCGTATCTGATCTTGTTATATATTACGTTCGGGGATGGCGCCAGCAGGTGGTTTGTGTGAGGGGGTGGTGGGTGGGTTGGGGTCTTTTTCTCCCGAAAAAATTTCCGCCCGCACCCACCCCCCTTCCAAGAGAAAGCCTAGTCGAAACACAACAGGATTATGTTGTGTTTAGACTATGCACGACTATGCATAGTCGAAACACATGCATAGTTGAAGCACAATCCAGCCTCCCTGCCACACTCCCACCCTACCACCTGGTAAAAAAATCCTAGCAGCGCCCCTGATTATATTGACTTCATCTTGACAATAAACAGTTCTTGAGGATGCGGGTTTGATTCCTGGCCGTAGAGAACGGATTTCAGCGTGAGAGGCATGCAGGAACACCCAGCAGAAACCTTAGATTAAGATTCACGTTAGGGAAACCTCATTTGGCTTTCAACATGCTTGTGGTCGAAGTTGTTTCGCTGTAGACCATCGCGATAATCATAATCATCAATTTCTTATTAAACAATGAATAGTTGTTCATTTCTTAATCTTTGCTTCTGTGTCTAGATCTCGCTTCTTTACGGCCCTGTGAAAAGTATGGCTGGCATCGCTGTATTCGATCAACGCAACAGAATCAACTGGGTTCTTGTAAAACATTACCTGGCGGTATTTGAGGCTCACCGACCTATACTTATCAGGCGTGATTGCACGTGAAGGTTTGGACGTCAATTCGTCTCGAATAATTGCAAATTCGGAAATTTTGTTTTATATACGTCAAGCTGATTGTGGCGTTGTTTCTATATAGGTATATTCTTCATGTGTCGAATATGGTGAAATTACCTATGCTTTGCTACGCCCCCACAATTCAACCCCCATATCCCCTCGGGAAGCTACGATGGTTACTGAAATCACGTTCATGTCTGCGTAGCTCCGACGCCCCAGTAATATGTTTTCAATCGTTGTTGTCTTGTATCAGTATTTTGAAGGATATAGCTTCTTCATAGGCACTAATGTTACGTCATGCTGTTCTGGACTTCGCGATTTGGCTGCCCGGCTACCACTAAAATATCTAATTTGACAGTTGTCCCATTCCTTCCTGACCGTATAGGTCGGCACTTTAAGGGATCACTTACTCACTCACTCACCACAATTTCTTCAGCCTTCGCATTTACTAACGTTCATAACAATCCCTGCTCACCTTCATGGGTGTCAACTCCCGTTCACACTCACGTCAACTCACACTCATAAGTGCTGACTCACGTTTACACTCACGTCCGCTCACGCTCATAAGTGCTGCCTCACGTTTCCATTCACGTCCACTCACACTCATAAGTGCTGACTCACGTTCCCACTCACGCTCATAAGTGCTGACTCACGTTCCCACTCACTTCCACTCACGCTCATAAGTGCTGACTCACGTTCCCACTCACGTCCACTCACGCTCATAAGTGCTGACTCACGTTCCCACTCACGTCCACTCACGCTCATAAGTGCTGACTCACGTTCCCACTCACGCCCACTCACGCTCATAAGAGCCGACTCACGTTCCCACTCACGTCCACTCACGCTCATAAGTGCTGACTCACGTTCCCACTCACGTCCACTCACGCTCATAAGTGCTGACTCACGTTTACATTCACGTCCGCTCACGCTCATAAGTGCTGACTCACGTTCCCACTCACGCCCACTCACGCTCATAAGAGCCGACTCACGTTCCCACTCACGTCCACTCACGCTCATAAGTGCTCACTCATACTCACACCACGTTCAATGAGTGTCAGTGAGTGCCGGTGAGTGGACTCGTGATTGTGCCAAGCTATGTTCCTGAGTTTATCGTTATTTTTTTTTCCTTCTCCCTCTGCACAATCTATTGCCCTGTTCCCAAGGGCTATGCCGATGTTCTCTGCACTTACCCCATTCCTCAGTGTCGGAATAGCGACAACCGGGCTACTGACACGGTCAACGTTCATGCCCTCCTCCTTTAGTGCTCTCTCGTTCTCCACATTGTGAAAGTTCACCGTGTTGTTTCCCCTGATCATTTTCGTCTGCGTTTTCTTGAGCCCATCAGAAAGCGCGCGCGGTGGAAACCCTTTCAGCCAATAAGCCAATGGCAAAGCATCGAACTCAGAGATGGCGGGATACGACAATTTATCAGCATTTCACACCAGGTGAAGGGTAGCGAACTGGGCAGCATGCTTCTGTTAAGCAGCCTTGAACTCTCACTCTTTTTTTTTTCCTTTCTTTCTATGAAAAATACATCCTAAATTCTGTTCCCTTATTTTTTGATGGCTGACTGCCTTACCTTTTTCGATGCAAGCCTTTGTTCTGCATACTTCGGTTGCATTAAACGCTGCAGAAAGACGGGACAAAACAAACAGCAATGCGATAGTGAGTCACCACAAGGTGACAATTCGTATACGGTACAGGGGTTACTAACGATTTAGTAGCAACAGTTTTGTTTCTGATTTGTTAATATCGTTTCATAACGTACTTTTCAATTTGAAGTCAGCATTTATCGACTTCCGTCTGATGCACAGTGTTTGCAAGTTAACTAAAAATATCACAGAAAAAAAAAACACGCGGGTCATATTACTCAAAGGACATGTTTTGCATAAAAACATGCGAAAGATGCGCACAATTTTCACAAGCATGCAAGCGAATAATTTAATGTAATCTCGACTGCTCAAGGGTTCATGATACACACAGTATTAACCCGCCTTTTTTGTAATAACAATTTGAAAGTTTCTTCACGTCATGGGTATTCCGGTACTGAAGCACCTGTAAAACAAAATGCAGCTCAATAACGTCTACTATCGGGCTATTTGGTGCATAGCCAACCAAAATGAAGCTTCTATCAGCCTGTTTCAATTTTCTTGCTCAGTTTTTTGGCACTTTGGTAGATTTTGGTAGAGGCCGGGTGAACTGTCATATTTGGAACGATGGCCGCCGAGACCAGGAGTCGTTTCGTGACTTTTCCGCTAGGGGAGGACGCATGTGCCGTGGCATCGCGGGAAATGCGAATTAGGCCTGCCAACGCGTGCTGCGCTGTAGGGGGAGGGGGGACACCTTTTTCAAGACAAGGTCGGATTCGGGATGGGTTCTGAACTTGCCCCTTTCCCCCCCTTGACTTACGCATGACCGATGAACAGAACACATGTGTTGAAGATTGGGTAACTGGATTTGTGGTACTCGAACACCGGTAGAGTGCATGACGGGAAAGAAGAAACGGTTGAGTCACCCAACACAGAATGGCAGAGCGCCTATCCATACTAGGGGCGTAGGCAGAAATTTTATGCGGCGGAGGGGGCACCACCTTTATCTGAATGGGGGGAGGGGGGCGCAGGCAAATGTAATAGAGCGTCGTTTTTTGGTCTGCATGACGTGGCAAAAAAATTTAGGGAAGGTGGGGGGGGGGGGAGGGTGGGGGGGGGTTTATTGTGCCAACCCTGTAACTACGCCACTTTTCTATACAGCATACGAAAGACACCCGAGCCTAACGCCCTGAGAAGACCACGCCATTGCAACGTCACAGACCAAAGTTTCACAGAAGGTTCACCTAATTAGCTCAGTGTTGGCCAGCTCGGCCACTACTTCTTTCCCGTCGTGCACTAAACCAGTTCAAGTATGATGAACAGAAACTGACGTTTGTGTGCGCCTAGAAAGCTTCGCTTTCGGAAGAGCTGCCTCTCCGCGGTGGTCTAGTGGGCCCTCGGCAACTGATCCTCAGGCCGCGGGATCAAATCCCGGCGGCGGCGGCTGCATTTTTCGATGGAGGCAAAAATGCTGTAGGCCCATGTGTTCAGATTTTGGAGCACGTTAAAGAACCCCAGGGGGGTCAAAATTTCTGGAGACCTCCACTATGGAGTCTTTCAAGATCGTATAGAGGTTTTTGGGACGTTAACCCCGCCCAGCCCCCTATCAATCAATCAATTAATCATTTCGGAAGAGCTGATATGACCATCACCGAATTTGTGCGAGCTATCTCCTTAAGGTATCCATCCTGTCTTCATCCTTAAAAAGCCAAATTAGGAAATCGGTTAGAAGTAAGCTAGTCAGATAACTGTGCTCATAACATCGCTAGCGTACTTCAAAAGTGTTGACTGTTGGGCGAGTTGGAGCTTTGGCAGACGAGGATTCCCCCGTTCTTGTTTGTTTCTTTTTGAATGTCGTGTTTAGTTGCGCTTTCACGATGGTTTCTATCGCTAGCGCAGCAGATGTATACCTTGCAATTGTCACCGAAGAGATTTTAAAGGAAATCCGAACCTTACCATGATTAGTTCCCCTGCACAGCAGAACAGCCAAAAGAAGGCTCCAGCCAACATTGGTTATCTGAAAATGCATCACCGATCATTTCAAAAGAAAATGATGTCTGACACAGCTGTGAATGTCATATCTCTGATCTAGCTCTGAATGTCATTGATGCGATATCTTTAGTTTGTTGCTGTGTTACATAAACGATGTCATTCCCGAAAGGTAGTCTTCGGAATGATATAGTCTTTCGGCAATCGATTCCTACAAGTACGTCATTGGCCGGTAGTCTACACATGAGGCTGTATATGCATACCTGCATGATAAATAGGAACGCAGCAACGCTCGAAACAAGAGTGACAATTATTAAAGTCCACGCCATATTGCTGGTAAAAAGAAGGGCGAAGTACAACGGTGAAAGTCAGAGACACTCGAATGGGTGTCTGGCTGAAAGAAAAGTCGTTAACAGGCGAACCGGCCAAAAGATGGCAAGAAAGAAGGAATTTCTTCTATCTGTGTCATTTTTATAGTTAACACCAGTTCGTGGAATACTCCAAACAAGAGAAAGTCAGAGATAACTACAGATCGACGGTAGATGCTCATAACTAAATACACTGATAATGGGGACAACTTCTAATTCTTGTTCGGACACCACTCACCTTCATCCTGATGACTGAGGATGCGTCCATACTTTTACGAGTTATCAGTGCAATAGCAGAGGCGCCTGTTCCCGATGACTATCAACGCACTTGACGGATCTACGTGTGCTTACAAGGAGGGCAACCAAATCTGAACGTGGGCCGGGGTTCCCAGTCGAACGTGCGTGCACAAAGGCGTGCGTGTGTCCGAGAGACACCCGAGTCAATTTAATGCGCCGAGTTTTTCCGTGAACAGCGAAGTAAGAACATAAGGAAAACGCGTCATGCAATACGCCTTCGGAGATGTGCGCGCCGCGGGAATTGCACATATCGTGTTAGCTCGAGACGTGCTCTTTAACGCAGAAGCTGCAGGACCGTATACGTAAAGAAATCTGACTTTTGCGTTTACGCAATGCTATGATCTCCGCCATTACACATCTGACTCTAGGCACAGGAATACTCTCTGATAAAAAAAAAACATTTACACGTATTCTTCAATGTGAATTTTTACCATGAGAACGTTTAAAAATAAAAGATGTGAATTTCTTTGAAGCCTTCACTAGATGGTAAGAACAAGAAAATGCTTTGATAGTCCAGGATGGTATGCCTTTTGCACGTAAGGACGATTTGCTCTACAAGTCTGATTATCGTCATCACACCCGTACAACAAAGAACGGCACCAAGGGAAACTCAATGATAGTGTTTGATTTGTCGCAAAATAGTGCTGTATCAATCATTCCCTGTGATTTGGACTTCTCTTGCGAGCTAATTCAAGTCCATGTAAGATGTCCGAGCCTGTGAGAGCCAAAATCAATATTTTAATCCTGAACGCAGACACACGCAAGCTATACAGATTTTAGCCACAATGTAGATTCGAGGCATTTTGGCAGCATGGGCCCACCAGTAAACCCAGGCCTATTGTCTGTAGCAAAAACTGCCCCTTTATTGAGCTTCTGTTGAACCCGGCTTGGCTATATGGAAAAAAAAGCGCCTCGTATATTCAGGCTTTCTGCGGAAAGTTGTAGGAATGATTTTCTCCTGCGAAAACGTGATGGAGAGAGAACGTTACTGTGCAAGTTGTGTGGTGGTGGTGGGGAAGGGGAGGTTTTTAGCCATCAGCGTACCAGTCGCCAGTCGTCCCTTAGCGTTCAAGGAGTGTCTATAGAATTTAAGCTGTACCCCTTTCAGTGTGCCTTGTAAACTCAACAATGTATCGTTTATTAAAGTAGCGTTGAGCCATGACGTTCACCGCCGAACTCAATGCACAATGAGTGAGACTTATGATATACCAAGACTGCTTACGGTAGTGATACCATAAGCCTATCAACATTTCCGAGTGCAACAAATTGTTTCGCGATACGCGAAAGAGAGTTGAATACAAGTCGGTCAAGAATCCCTTCAACAGGAAAAAAAAACTTACAGCATATACACGAAGGTAATGACGAGTGGGGCGAAGCTTCTGAAGGTTTTATCGGTAAGCCATGAATCATCCGTCCATCCGTCCGTCCGTCCGTCCGTCCGTCTGTTTGTCTGTCTGTCTGTCTGTCTGTCTGTCCGTCTGTCCGTCTGTCTGTCTGTCTGTCTGTCTGTCCGTCTGTCTGTCTGTCTGTCTGTCTGTCTGTCTGTCTGTCTGTCTGTCTGTCTGTCTGTCTGTCTGTCTGTCTGTCTGTCTGTCTGTCTATTCTTCTGTCTCTCTATAAGTACATCCATCCATCTATTCGTCCGTTGCGACCTGCTGAGTGAGTCATTGAACTAGGCAGTCACGTACCGAGGGCTAAGAGGGACAGACTCACGGCTTTAGGACCTTCGCCCCTAAACGTCACGACAAAGCGCCGACCCACACCACCTTTGCTGTTATGGGCTTCCTGACCAAACATGGCACCACTGAGATGTAGATGTTGATAATCATCTTCGGGCCCACGCCCACCCTAGGAGATCTAAACAGATTTCCCAGTCACCTCACAGCCGATGCTGATGCTGATGACCTCTGATGGATGGCGCTTACCCACAAAGGGGGATGGGCCAAGAACCGGTCGGCAGGATGCTTAAATGAAACTAAAATGAAAATTAAGCCAATCTGAAAAAGTAGCATAAAATAATACTACCAAATGCAAAAATGTTTGCTGAGCAAGCGGTCAAACCATCTTTTTTTTTTTTGAAAGACATAACTACGAAGTATAAACTAAAGATATGAAAAGGTAGGGGTTCATTAGCATGGTAATCTTTTAGTTGCGTTGATCAAGCTGCCGCTAGTTTAAACTTCTTCCTCTTCCCTCGATTGAAAAGGCTCATCAACGGACGGGGATCATGGCTTGGCCCAGACCGTGGTGTTGATCGGGCCATTCAAGGGGCCGTGACGAGGGAGCTTAATAGCATTCCAGGTTCTGCGTTCCAGGGAGCCCTCGGGGTTTTACAGCGTAGCTGGAAACGCGGCGCTGGCGCAGACTGGGCATACTTCAAAGACGATTTGGTCGATGTGCCTAAATTGTAAATATCTTCTTTTTTTAACATTTAGCCCAATTAATTTCTGGACACACTCTGCATATAGTCACGCGTTTAGTATGGGGAAGCATATAATGATCAAACCGATAAGATTATAATTAATTAGGCGAACTGGTGTCCTGTCAAGCAACACTCGCTACAAGCAAGTCAACGTTGAAGTACGATTCTGTACTGGTCAGAGTGATCATCGCAGCTAATCTGATGACCATCAGAGAAACACGCGTCGGGCATTTATGCGTTTGGCTTCGTACATCCCAGCGTTATCACTGGTGCTCGCGTCGGTGCGTTCTAGAATAGGCTTTACTACTCTAGTCAAGGTCGCAACCTTGTGGGAATGTTAAAAAGCTTTCGCCAAGGTTTCCGCCCAATCTTGCATGTCCTGCGCCGATCGACAGCACTTGTGAGAGGTTTAGCCATGGATGCTCGTATCGTTGGTAGGGAGAGAGAGAGAATTTATTAGAAGGCAGAGAGGTCGGCCTGAGCTAGTTCGCTCTAGCCTGCTACTCTACACAGGGGATAAGGGAAAGGGGAAGGAAAGAGGGATGAAGGGTGGTATGAATGAACGAAACGTTGTTGCACGGTCACCATCGTATTTTCTCTGGTTCGATGCGTCTCTTTACTGCTGTTCATGTCAGATACGCGTGTTTTTTTTTTAACATATGCATATCCTAGCGAAACTCAAGCTGCGTAGTGAAACAAGAAGGCAAGCGAAACGGTAGCCTTCAGAGTTCCGTGTACGACGCAGCAAAGTGGCAGACATGATCTGAAAAGAAATAAAGAAGCATCACTTGCGCCGCAAGGGCGAAGCAATGCATGGGATAGCAACTGAAGAGTTTCCTATAATTTTCGGAACTCAATGATGGTGACAATTTGGAATGTCACGCGAAGAAGGGCAACCAGCGCGAAACGAGCAGCACGCCGCGAGGCCACACAGGACGCACAGCACACAGGACGAGCGCGAACTAATCAACTATCCCAGCTCGGCACTCGAAGCGCGCTGCTCAAGTACTAAGGAGTAGGAATGCAAAGATCCCAAACGTATGCATCGGACAAGCGTCAACTAAGCGCTGCCACTGTTGTTACTTTGTCTCACAGCAGTGCGCTCCTTTCGCAAAAGCGGTCGGTGCAGCGAGCGAAGTGACCTTCTGGCGCACCGTAAGTTTGCGGAGTTACGCAAACTTTGCGGTGAAAATTTTACGCCAACGTCTCGGTGAAAGCACGTGACTTACAAACCATATAGTTTCCCAAAAATAACTAGAGGGCACCCTGGCGCTGCGATCGTTCAGCGACCATGGGAATGATGGGTAGTACACACATTTGCCTAGTCTTCGTACTTGCGGGCGGCGAACCGTACTTGCCGCTTCGTTCATTACTGGTTACGGTTTTGTATTGAAAGAAAAAAAACGAACCCTTTTGAACTTAAGGACTTGATTCAAAATAGTAAGCTTAAAAGAATAAGGTTGTGAAGCGCAAACGGTGAACATTTGCTAGTTTATGTTTTCGTGAAAAAACAGCTCCAAGCCACACGAACACACGCGGAGCCAGAAGCAGGACAGAAGTACGAAAATTAGACAAATGTGTGTACTATACCATCATTCCCATACTCGCTGAAGCGCCGTGCGTTGCAACTCCTATAGACACTAGCGCCAGAGTTCCCTCTAGTAAGTATTGTGGGAAACTCTATGTTACAAACCACCCCATTACTAGATGAGCATACGCACACGTGCGGCCACATCCTGTAGGGCAGAGTGCATGTAGAGTACTAGTGCATAGGAGGCGCACGCTCAACGCAACGAGCGGGTCGAAGATTTTCAAAGCGCGCACTTCGCACCGTTAAGCCGGTGATAAAGAGGATACACTGAAACAACTCCGAGCTTAGCCTACCGCCAGTGATAGTTCGCCGTGAGCGTTTTGAAGGACGTAGGCTCCGTGGCCGAATTGGCTGACGCAGCGCACTGGAGAGGCCCCGCCCAAACGACAGAAGTGTGGCAGCCAATCACTTCCGTGACCAAAGACATAGTTCCACTCATGCACCAAGGCAACATCCTCCGGAGTCACCGGCTCATGACGTCAGTCTGCAGTGCGCGCCCATTGGTGCAGGCTTTGGTGCATCCACCTTTCAGGAGAAAATGTCGCCGACTTTTAAAGTTGCAATGGACTACAAATATATACATATGCGAGACATGACGCCGACGCCGACGGTAGAAACTAGCCCGGAGTGCCCATATTGTTGTCATCGCATTAGAGTAGTGGCGTCAGCATTCTTACCATTATACCACACCGATCTTACGCAGCCTCGTTACATCTCTCGTTACACCGCCTAGATTGAGCACAAAAGGTGCTCTGCGAACTACAATAACCTGCCTCTAACTTTTGTAAAGCAGGTCTGGCGGTTGCTTTTTGTACCATTAAGTACTGTCAACGTATTTATGTCATTTGTCACCAACACGCTGCTGCTAAATCTCATGATCGGAGTAAAATTTCCTCAGCGCCAGGCAAAAAAAAGTCGCATTCAGCTGCAACTTTGAAACTTCCTACTTAGAATTCAG